AGAGGGTATAAAGTAGTTCAAGGCGTTTTGCCTTGGGATTCTTCCAGTTTCGGAAATGCAGATCAGGAACTTACTTTCTCGGCGTGTTTGTGCATTTGGTCCTGGCACCACGTAGAGGAGCTGCAGCATAGTGAAGTTACCGCATGTTGTAGCTGAAGGCCTACGGCTGAATGTTCAGAGCTAGTACACCGGTTAGAGACTGGAGTAGTGCGGATCTGCACCTGCGGGTGATTTCTGATGCTCAGAGCCGGTTGCGAGTAAGATACTTGAACAGTTCCCCCTTATACCTTTGAGTGACATATCCTGATTGTACTCCTACATGAAGTTTCCCCTAAATGCCAAAGTGAAGTTTTGTTACTTCGTGTAAACCTTGGTTATCAATTCAGGTTATGTGTGTGTGTTACTGGATTGTGTCTCAGTTGAGTTCTCAGTCAGACCTGTACTCTCTGCGCTTAGTGTGAGTCGAGGGTGACGTCCACTGCGTATGAGGGACTTCGTTCCGAAGTGGGAAGTCCAATCCGGGTTCCCTACGCTAGCAAAAACTGGCGGAATGGCTGTAAAAGCCGGAGTGGGAGTCACTACCTGCAGAGCCTCTAAGTGTACTTTTGAGAGACTTTCCCCCTGAAATCCTAAGCGGAGGTCCTGACCGACCTCCGAGTTGTGCTTTTCCAGTTTCAGGTGTGTGTGTGTGTGTTGAGTGACTTACGCTGCACTGTGCATCCTCCGAGCATCCTCCGAGTCGAGCATCCTCCGAGTGGCCTCCGAGTCGAGCACTGAAGTATTTCTGGGAGTGACAGTCGCCTGAGAATTCAAACTCTCCAAAAGTCTGTTAAACGTGACACTTTGTACTCTGTGTGTTGCCTCTGTCCCTGTGGGTTCGATCTTTTTACCACCATACTGCAGTTTTAGCCTTTTGTGGGTTATTACATAAGGAGCCGACAACTTTTTTTTGGCGCCGCTGCCGGGGACAGTGCGTCAACACCAGAGTACTCGAGCAGCAATGCTCGGTGAATGTTGACGAGCGATGGTGTGGGCGAACTGAGTGTGAGAGCCACACGTAAGATCCGTTGAGATTCGAAAAAGGCCGTAGAAGCAAAACAGCGAACTAAAAAGAAGACTCAAGGTGAGAACTCTGCAGAAAGATCGCCATCGCCGACTGGTGGAAGCCAAAGGCGTTCTAGTTAACCTACTGCGAGCATTGAGCTAACGGTTCTATTGGAAATCCCTCCGACAGAAACTCTTCCTGGGTTAGGCCAACCTAGGAGCAGTCCGTTGACAGGATCACCAATGGCAGACCATCAAGCCAATCTCCGCCAGGTGTTTTCCCAACCTTTCACAAAACATTCGTATACAAGGTACAAGGGAACGGGCGACGACGATGATGCAGATTCATACATAAAACTCTTCGAGTCTGTCTCCATCACCAATCGCGAGACCAGTGATGAAGACAGATTGCGAATCTTTCCTAGCCTACTGCGCAAGAGAGCTCGTAGCTGGTATAATCATGAGAGTACCGACACCACTCGCATCCGGACCTGGGCTCAGCTCAAGGAGAAGTTTCTGAGGCGGTTTCGCGAACTCGGATATGACAGTCGAGTACTGACCCGACTTCGAAATCTTCGACGCGAACGGAAGGAGAATCTTCGAGACTATACGGAGAGATTCCAAAACCTCCTAGATCGAATTCCCAAGACATGCCCAAGAGAACCTTTTTCTGTACAGCAAGCAGTGGACTGGTATGTGACAGGGCTCTCACGAGAAATGGAGACCTTCTGCAGGAGGGGCAAGGCTGACACAATCCAAGATGTGATAGCTTCGGCGGAGACCTTTGAGACGTCAACCCTTGACACTCGAAGAAGCGACCGACGGTCGACGAAGAAGAAATTGCAAGGCGGACGTCGGAAGAGAAGGGAGTCGCCTTCCTCATCAGAAGAATCAAGCTCATCCGAAGCGAGTTCTTCCTCAGAGGAGGAAGAGGACTCGTCGTCTTCGGAGGAGGAGAGACGGAAGAAGAAACGCAGTGCGATAAAGAATAAGGATCGGGGTAGGGGAACCCATGGAAGAGTTAGGGGGACATCGCAGCCAAGGTGGACAACCTGGTGAAGAATTTTGCGGACCTGAAAGTTCATGTAGTGGGAGGCCAAGACCGGCGTAAATCACCTGCGAGACAGCGAGCGAATCTCTGGTGTACTATGTGCGGACAAGTGGGACATGCCAACACGGAGTGCATGGCCACTCGCCCGACTTATCCAGTAAATGCGGTTGAATGGGCACCACAGTGGGAGAACCCCATTTATTATGGTAAGCCGAGTGAGGACACAGCCTATGCGGTTCAGTCAGCTCCGGCTACAACTCCGATCCCACCTGTGCATATACTGCGGTTCAATCCGAGAGAGATGGCGGGTACGCTCCCACCGAGACGCATGGCACCTCTCGGCAATTTTAACCGACCTCCACGGCAGGGTTGCTATAACTACGGTGAGATGGGACATTACTCGCCGAGCTGCCCCCACCCGAAGAAGCAAACTGGGTATGTACCGATGTGCAACAACTGCAGGAAAGCAGGACACACGGCACCCGAATGTGATCAGCCACCAGTCGCCAGGCCAATCGTGCGTTTCGTGACGACACCTGGCAAGGAAGAAGTGCAGGTCAATCAGGTAGACCTGGGCTCGGACCCAACTGAAGAAGACGAAGTATGGCCGGAGGAAGAAGTGATGTGCGGACGGGTAGAGACCCGAAGTTCGAAGAGGAGGGGAGAGGACCACAAGGACACTCGACGACTCGACCGTAAGGAAGAAAGAATGAAGTCTAAAGAAGAGGAGAAGTCTAGCCGAAGCAAAACACCCGGTACACCTCCGGCGATGCGGATCATCCAGTCGGTGCTGAACTCGGAGAAGGCGGACAGGACCTCAGACGAGATCCGGAACCGAGACTACCTTCCGGACATCAAAGATGAGGTAAGCCACCTCATCAAGGAAGCACTGAGCGCCGGAGCGATATCCGACGACCGGAAGGCGGCTAGGTCATATACAACACTTCCGACCGCGACTGCAGAAAGGGTGGCGGCTGTGACTTCAAGCACTTCCTACGACATAGTGGAGGACATAGGGCAAATATTTCCTTCCACCAGCTGTTGGAGTATAATACAACGTACCGAAAGATGCTGATGCTTTCGTTGCGCCGACCGCGCAAACCCCGAAAAGGGAAGCTTCCGGCGGTGTACAGAGTGGAAGGAGTAGACCTAGGACCTCCGGAGATCAAAGTAAAGATCGGAAGCTGCGTCATACAGAAGGTACCTGTGGACTCCGGTTCGGGCGTGAACATCATGACAGATGAGACAGCGAACTCCTTGGGGTTCCAGAACTTCGAGCCTACAACCCGAGTGTTGCGGCTGGCCGATCAAACGCGCAGAATGCCGCTGGGCATGTTGAGCAATGTAAGAACCAACATTGGAGAAGTGGACTTTCAACTATCATATATAGTATTGCAGCCCCTGATGAAGAAAGGTTACGATGTGCTGCTTGGCAGACCTTGGTTATACGATGCCAAGGCAAGGTGTGACTGGAGGAGGAAGAGATTGCAGTTCCGAAACCCTTCGGACCCTCCGACTGTCATTACCGTACCATGGACCAAGGTACCACACGAGGGCGAAACGCCATCGACCACCTCAGGATACACGACTGGAGGGGAGAGCAGCTCGTCGTACCTTTCAGATACAGATATGTCAAAAGAGTTTGTGGATTACGTCACTTGTTGCTCCATTGAGGAGGAAGGGGACGATGTGCATCCGGACGACGAATAGCAATTAACAGTGGGACTGGGCAGAAGCGAGATCAGTCACACAGAAGTGATTATCGACCCAAGTGACTGTTGCGAACTACAGCTCAGTCCAGACAAAGGCTTGAAGGTGTCAAGCCAGGTACAAGGAGAAGAATTGAAGAGGGTACAGGCGTTTCTTCGCCAGTATGAGGATGTCTTCGCATGGAAGATTGAAGATATGAAGGGCATACCTGCAAAGTATGGAGAGCACAGTATCGACTTGTTGGACTATGTAGTTCCGGTTCGCCAACGCCAATACAGGTTCAACCCGAAATATTCATTGTTGGTGAAGGACGAAATCGACAAGTATCTGAGAGCAGTGATTATTTACCCAGTACTCAGTGTTGTTACGAAACATTCACTTCCACACAGTGCTGTTACGCGAGGCGGTTTCGAGTGAGGTACCTAGTGTTGTTGACACCCGCTGAGAAGCAACTCGCTCAAGAAGTTTCTGTTGCTTTTGTACAAGGGAGTTGTGGATTTGATGTTCTCATATCTCAAGGGCGGTCATATGTTTGTGATGTGAATGGCTGGAGCTTTGTTAAATACTCTTACAAGTACTTCGATGACACAGCATGTGTTTTAAGGACTATGTTTCTAAAAGCAAAGGCACCCCACCTTTCTTTGCAGCTACCTCCACGCCTCCCGTGGAGTACTGATGCTGTCCAGGCTAGCATGGTCAGCATGGTATATCCAGACAAGGAAGCAACATCGCTCGAACTTTTGGGCAATCGGAGGAGCTCCGCTGTGTCATTGCAATCCTTCGTCATGGAGATCGTACTCCAAAGCAAAAGATCAAGATGAAAGTTACCCACGACAGGTTGCTCAATCTGATGCTGGAGTACAACGGTGTGAAGGTGGCTCCAACTGGCTCGAAGTGTTTGAAGTGTGATAAGACAGAGAATCAGTGAAGAAATTTTAAAAATTGCATGATCAATTGTGGGAGGCGAAACTGGGAGGGTAGTGGGGATAATGGCCATGCAGTGGAACATTACCTTCAGACAAAGTACCCCCTGGTCGTGAAGCTGGGCAGAATAATAGCTCGTCTAGATTCTGCAGATGGGTACTCTTACGAGAAGGACGAAACTGTTGAGGATCGCTAGCTCAACATCTAGAGCACTTCGGCACCGATTATTCTTCTTTGCAGAAAACTGAAATGACCACGGCGGAAAAGGAACTGGACCAGAACGTCAATTTTGATTGGAATTGTACACAGGAAATGGGGCAGAGAACACAAGCCATCCCACCCCACCCATACAGTGCTGTAGAACAGATCTGATATTTCACTCAATGCGAAGCGCTAGGGTACGACTGGATTGTACATCTATTCTGCCTATGCTCAAGGACGGCCATAATGCCACGGCGAAAGAAAGGAGTACTTAGGAGAACAGACTCAATCAGAAGAACTGTCCTGTAGATCTGATGATGGCAATCAGAGAAATTTGCGAATTGGATGACGATTTGAAAGCTGCTGCCAATTTGAAGTATCCCGGAGAAGAAGGTGGGCCTTCAGCAGTAGACAACGAAGAACCTCTTGAAGCAGAGATAGCATCCGATCAAGAAGAGAACATAGGTGCGTCATAAATTGCAATGAACAAGAACATGCGAGAGGAAGATGTTTCTGACGAGGCTACAAAAATAGGAGAGAAGTGCCTGCTCAATGAAGCTACGCTGGAGGAGGTGATTCCTATCGCGGAGGATGACTCAAAACCTATTATTTCTATCAGCGAAGTTGAGCTTTCGACACAACTGTCAGCTGTAATGAATGCTCCAACATCGACCACCAGATCTCAAAGAGAAGGCACCCGGTTGAAGAAGCAATCCCCAACATCCATGAGCTTGAGTACAGTTTTACCACGTCAAACTTGCGAGATAGAGACCACGAATGTATTCATAAAGCTGGAGATCTTGCAGTCAGTGTCCAGACGGACGATGATCTCAGTGAACCTTTGATTTCCTTTCTGACCAGGACCGATACTCACACAAAGGTTTTTGGAAGGAGACAAGCATTGTCCTGCCGGTTCACGGGGACGAGCAGCTTCCTACAATCTCAAAGACGGGCAGCGTATGCCATTCTCCGGACAGCGGAAGTGCCGAAAGCAGAACCGACCAGGATTTGAAGCTGGGTCCACGAGCAACGAGCACGCGAAACCACCCAAATTGTTCCCTGCGACAGTCACGCACTCTGGTGAGAACTCCTCCAGCATTTCTCCAGGTCGAAAGAGGAGCGCTTGCAGCTTCTGTCCCAGATCACTGGCCTCATCTTATAAAGGGTCGCTCATTCACGCCGCCGAGGCGCCGGCGGCAAGAGCACTTCAGTGCAATTCAATGTAACTTGCACTGGCTGCGGATGACTGTACAGAACTGGGTCGTTGCGTCTGAGTGAGAGAAAACTCGCATACCACTCGCGCTGGCACACAGACGACAGACCAGAAGTAGATGACACACAACGGGAAAAGTGCATCAGGCTAGAGTCAAAAAATTTATCCGAAAGAGTATGAGACGAGGGTGCAGGTCATCCAAAAGTCTCTGCAGATGATAACCGTGGAGGAAGCGTACTTCGTGTATGAAGTTCGAAATGAGACTCCCAGATGGTTCCCATGATCAGAGTTCTCATGGAGTAGCACGAGAAGATCGACATGGTTCCCGTCGTCAAGCAGGTGCCCAAGACGAGGATCGAGATCGTCTACCGTGTCGTGGAAGAAGAGACGGAGGCTAGGGACATGCTTCCCACCGTCGAAATGTGCCGGTTAGAAGAATAGAGAAGATTTCCAGAATCATCAACCCTAATCGGAGCAGGCGATTCTTCTTGCGCGTGGGAGTAGCGCGTCCTCGAGTTGTGGGAGCACTCTCCTTTCCTGGCATTCTGTTGATTCCTGTACCAGTTCCATTGAATCCTCGACGATGGCTCTCATCGTCAGAAGAAGACGAACTCGAGGACAACAAAGATGACGAGCTGGAGTTTGACCCAGTTCTACTGAGAATTCTTTGCTCCTTCCCCAAAAGGTTGAAGTGACTCCGGTTAACGTAGTTCCAGTTTCCACCTCGCAATAGCTGCGCCGAACATAATGACAAAAGGTGGTTCACATAATTGAGGAATATTTTAGGAACGGCTTCGTCGAAGAAGCCGCAGCGAATTTGCAGGACGTGGGTTCTCCCAATAATCATCATTACTTCGTGAAGAAGTTGATGTCGATGGCGATGGATAAACACCATCCTCAGAAGAAGATGGCATCTGTTTTGATTTATGCTTTGTATAATGATAGTATTGAGCCTGAGAAGTTGGCCAAGGGATACATGAAGCTACTTATGAGTGAGTATCACCTCAAGCTCGACGTTCCATATGTCACAGATATATTAGCGTTGTTCCTCAACTCCTGCACTGGAGTTGAAAAACAATTATACTTCGGCACCTGTCAGGTTGATGTGTGTTAGATTTTCGTCTATAGTTTTTGGTGGAATAATAATATTGTTCATACATATAATTATTTTCTTAACACGGGTTAAAGGAGAAATGGTTGAGATTAACTTCGCGTAAAGAGTAACCTCGTATATAAGTTAAATATAACTAGGAGTTCGTTGGGTATTTATACCCCAAGGTTTGTGTATCACACGGGACATTGAGTACATTGTCACGCATGCACGGAGCACTTTGTTATGAAACACGTTCCATCTTGGCGGTGGCAGTTACTATCATTTGATTGTTGGGTGCTTGTGATTTTGGATTGATCATAAAAAGATCAACATTCCAAATAACCTAGTATCATTTTATCTCAAAGTTCAAAAGATAATTTACTTCATAAATTTCAAAATAACATAACTTTCTCCTTATGCATGATCTCTCACTGACTTATATAGACTCAATTATATAGATTTTACAAAATTCAAGCAATAAAAGCTAGGTTGAAAAAAATCAATAATTATTGATGTGTTCATGAAATGTATTTTATCATGTTTGGGTGAAAATAAATATATGTTTGCACTTTCTAGTGAAAAAATTCAAAGCAAAAATTCTTATTTTTATTTTAGATGAAAAATTGGAATAATTTTAAGATTATGTTGAATATATGTGTTGATGAAGATCTGAAAATAAGGATATTTTTTTAAGCCAAACCAAGTATTTAAACTTTGTATTTGAAAATTTTAGCACTATAAGCAACTCTAAATTAACATGATAATTTTTTCCAACACATTGAATCTTCTCACTAAATCAATATTACAGAAATAATTGAAAAATAAGTATCTTGTCATATAACATCTATCGCGAGTCAGTTGACAGCTGATGGAGATAGTATAAAATCTGACTTGGCTTTACTGACAGGCAAGCTGTATAAATTCTTCTTAAATATAAAAAACTGCAATAAAAGTTTGAAATAAGATTTTATTGGAGAATGTGAATCCTCATTGAACTTTGTTGATGCCAAGTATTAGTGAAATTATTACAAAAACATCTAGTACTGTATAAATTTTTAAAATTGACATAAAATGCATTCGTGAAATTTCATTTTTTCCAAAGCACAAAGCTCACTCAAATCCAACAGAATAAAATATAGAAATAAAAATAAAAACAAGAAATGAGTTTCTTTGGCATATTTTCATGGGAATAGATCTGATACATAAGGTGTTAATTTTCTTAATGATGATAATCAAAGTATCTTACGTATTGCAGCAAATTAAATAATATTTAAACATACATTGTCATCATATTGTGTCATCATATGAAATTTTTTTCAAAATAAATAAATTTGTAAGGTTATCCATATATTAAATTTTGTCCATGTAATGATCAATTCATCCAAATTAATTTAGCGATAAAATTAATTTTAAAAATTATTTGCTATTGTGCACTGAACTTATGAGGTTATTATAGAAATTTTATGATTCTTGTCTGTTTTCTCAAAACTGTAGTTTGAGTTCAGATTAATTTTTTTTCCAATGAAGTGATTATACTTGAAATGTGTTTCAGATATTTTTCAGTTAATTCAAATAAATCAAGATTATATATATAAATAAATTAAGTATTACAATAACAAGATCCAAATTTCCCAAACATGAATCAAGGAGATAATTAAGACTATAATTATTTCAAATCGTGAGAAACGTAATTACATTGAAGCTAATGACTTGGCTAGAATTGCATTTCTAATGAATAGACTATCACAAGAACAGAGTGGTGACTTGAAGTTCATTTCACAATCTAGTTTGTGGAGGGTTTTAGTTGCTCTTGCTGTGGAGACATGATTCAACCAAGAAGCCTTTCTTTGATTGTGTTTTTTTATTGGTCCGTATTCACCAGAATGGTTATTATCCGCTAGGGGGCGAAGCCCGAAGCATAAATCAGTTCCCTTTAGGTTTAACCCGCAACGAATTCTCGTTGCGGATCCGGACTGGAATTGCAAAGTTTGAAGAACGACCAAGTTGATTTCACTCCGATAAAAACACATATTGGAAGTTCTATGGAAATTCTAAGAGTAGGGCTAAACTTGCCAGAAGTGATTGATTCCATTGTACTTTTGTGAAAGTAGCTTCGTATGATATGTATGATGTAATCTTCGATACTGACTTCTGCATATATTTTGATGAATTTTGTATCTTTGTATTTGCATCAATGCTGACTCAAAATTTCCTTGCGATTTAAATGATTGCATCAACATATATCACTTTTTTTAATAGATTTAAGATTTAATTGATCATATTTTTCAAAGTTTGTTAGAAAAAAATTAATATTGAATGGACTGATTTCTCAATAAAAATAGAATTGAATAAATTTTTTTCTACAAATTTATAATATTGAGAATTATTGAAACTATGTTATTCAACATTTTTTTATCTTTCACATACATATGAAGTTTCGTTCAATTCACAACAATCAACATAAATATTAATTTTCAATTAAAATATTGAGTAAACAACTAGAATTGTTTGAGAGGCCTATTGTCTAGCCAAGAGTCTAGATGTATCTAGTACTCTATACTTAACTGAAAATCTGAATAAAATTTAATATATTGAACTTCATATTTACATGTATTTTCTATAAAGTGAAAAATTGAGGCACAAAAGTCTTATATGTATATTAAATATTCTTGAATCATGTTTAAATCAAAATGGCTTAGACTCTGAGGTTTTATAAGCAGAATTTTTTCTCTTTTGAACTTTTTCAAAATAGAAGACTAGGTTATTGGAAATGTTAGATGAATCCTAAACGAACGAAGATGCATAGATGCCATGTTAACATAATCTTTGATTGTTATGTCCATGTGTCACAAACAGTGCGAACAATGACAATGAGGTTATGTTTTTCTCTAATTGGGAGTTGATTTTGTTTCTTTTGAATTGAAAAGTAGTTTAATTTTTCTAAACTTAACCGCGTATTGGTTTTTCTTCTTTTGGTACTTGGCTTGAACTTTTTCCAACTTAGCGACATTGTCAACTTTAAGGTTCCTAGCAGTATAAATAGAGAGATTCAAGACACTTTTGTCAAAATCTGTTGTACTTGTGCTTTGAATATCAATACTACTTGTGATTTATAAGTACATATTGTCTAAGTCTTGTTTGAGTTTTCGTTTACAACAGTTTGATGACAAGAGTTCACTACCAAGATGAATGATGCTTCCAACATGTCATGCACAAACGTGATTTTCATGCTGCAACTGCTACAACAAGAGAATGCCAACCTACCAAAAATCATGAAATAGCTCTAGTCCACGTTCCACAAACTTGAACAAATCTAGTTCCACAAGTTCCAAAAGAAGCTGGAATAAGTTTGCTTAAAAAGTTTGAAGTATATGGTACAAAACTTTGAGAATTTGTTAATCAAGTTCATCTTTTTTTGTCCTCTACCCCACAAATGCGCAACAACTCTAACATAGATTGGATTCATTGGATCATTGCTCATCAAATTCAAGTTTTTGTCAATATTAGAAGATGATTTTCCGCTTACCGCAGACCTTGATCAATTTTTGGAAAAATTCAACAAAAAGTTTTGAGAAAGCGATCATACCCTTATAACAACACAAATTCAAACACTAAAACCACAATCATAGACAAATTGAACATAAATTGCAAAGTGTTAATAACTTGCACGTGATCTCGATTAGAACAATATGCTTTTCATCATCATGTTTTGATGCAGATTTTGTGACGCTATCAGTATCTTGTTGATAGATTTTCCATATCAATTACTTTACGAGATATAATTACTCAAGCAATCAAATACAACAAAGCAACTGTTCAAAACAGCAACAGGAGGGACAATTGCTCTTTGGGTCATGTTGAGCGTATCACATAGCTCCACACCGCAAAAAGTCTTCAAGAATTTCAACCCCAAAGTCCATGCAAATCAACTCTTCACGGATTAGAAATAAAACTGAAAAATATATCAACATTGCAAGAAGTACTTATGTTTTTTCTGTGGAGTCAAGTATCACAACTTAAACAACTATACCTTAAAACCTCAAAGTTCAAAGACGCAAAAATTTTGGCACACTTCAAGCACTTTTGAACCAAGACACAAGTAGATCAAATTGAAAACCCACATCATCTAGCCATTTTTGGAACCGTGAGGGTGACAAATCTTTTCACGTCACCATGTCATATCATATCCTCTGAACCTTCTTCTTGTTTTACTTTTTCACTTACAATATTTTTTTATCCACATAACATGAAAATTAACATGGCCGAGATCTTATCCACTCTGAATGCAAAGTGGGCGGCGACCTCGTCCAGGAGACAGCTTCTTAAGGTACCTGCAACCGGCACCAACAACAAGACTGCGGATTATTATCAAGGCAACGTGAGGCGAGAATCTTCATCGAAGCGGATTCACATGGATCTAGACCTTAAAGGGGTGTAGCAGAAGGGTGCTTAATCGAAAACACAAACTAAGAAGTCTATATTCGTCCAAGCAGATTTAGGCGACAGGATGTCAAATCTATCACAATCTTCAAGAGGAACATCTGTAAATTCTGCACATGTGGCAGATCTTGAGAATTTGAAGACATGGTCCATGCATAGCCTCGCTGCACGTGATTCCAGTTTTGTATTGACGTTCGTTGACGACGGTGCGTACTGAACACCGATTAGATCGATGGTAATTTATCAGCTGGGAAATGCACGAACGTCCGTCCAGTCCGATTGTTCAGGGATGAGTTTTGAAAACCTAGATAATGATATTCAAGTCGGGATTTTCTCAATCATAAATGAGATTCTGCAAGCATAATCCACCATACTTGTTAATCTTTAATTCACCCAAAGTGTTTATCAAGCAATCAGAATCTGGCAGAGACATAGAATGAAGGTATCTTGGAACGAAACTTTCCCTCTCCTTCACACTATGATCAGAGATGTGTCACTTCCCAACCTCCGTTGGAAATTATTATCAGGGTATTTATTGGAGCTTACATAGATGTTGAAAGTTTCAACAAAGTATCCAAAGTAGGAGCAAAGAGCTACAGCCTGTAAACTTTGGTGGGTACCGAACGAAGATACACCATGAGCTCGTCCCTCAAACCCGCTAAAGCAATCTCTATTCAATGTGAGATATCGCTTTTACTTGAATTATGTATTAGAAGTTAATGCTTATATGACAGTACGTGCGCTGCTTATGATGAGAGACCCATCTATTTGTACATGTCGAGACTCAGTTCGAAGTAGAACCAAACCGACCGACCAACCAATTCCGAAAGTCATGACACTCCAGTCTGGAATATGGATCAGTCTAGATCCGAGGAAGGTCAGGCCTGGCAAAGGCCAAGCAAACCGATTCTTCTAATGCATTTCTGAAGTTCGCGTCTGAAATTACGGGAGGCTCGTGATGCTTGCACGGGCTTATTCGGAATGTCTACTGTGGAGACGGTTCATGTAAGGCTCTGGCAGGAACCTTCTCTTCTCCTGGTTGCGTCGTTTTCTCACTCGGGAGAGATCAGGGCAGAGATCCGTGCTGAAAAGACAGGGTTACCCAGAGGAGAAGAAAAGAACTGCACCAGTAATACATCGATCGCTCCAGCACGTAGACATTTAAGTTCGAAATATTCTCAGCCTAATTAGCGACTTGTCAATCACACAACGCTTCACGTTCTGGATAAGCCGTTGTCTCTTGTCGGCTCTGTATTCGATCTTCAATTCTTAATCTTCCTCAAAGCAAGTGAACGAGAATATTTGCAGTTCTTAATGACAATAATATCTCCTTTCTAATGCTACAGCAAGATACGTCTGCATCGATCTCTCATCCATGTAGACCTTTAATTTGGGAAGTATCTCAGTCTCATGAGCGACTCCTTGATCACACAGCGCTTCACGTCCTGGGTAAGCCGTTGTCTCTTGTCGGCTCTCTGGTCGTCGATCTGAAATTGTTCATCTTCCGGAGACCCAGTGAACGATTATATTCTCACTTCCTAACGAGAATATAATCGCTCACTGGGTCCACAACGACATACGTCTGGTATGACGTTCAGTCGTTTCGTATGTCCTACCTGGCGAAAGATTCAATACAACCATACAAGTCTTATTCAATGCAAGTGACGTGACTTAATTGCTAGAAACGATTCTAGCTTCAAGACCGATACAAGTCTTATTCAATGCAAGTGACGTGACTTAGTTGCTAGAAACGAATCTAGCTTCAAGACCGATGTGGACGTATTTCTTCGCTGGACTATAGCCTCTTCAACTTATGAAGAAACCATCCATCAGTCTTCTGAGGTTAAGAACTAAATATTATGACGCAATTCGGCAATCAGCTTTATTTATGACGGAAAAATTGGAGCAGAAGTAGAAGAAGATGACAGTTAGTGGAAACTAGAGCGCCAAGGAACAAAAAGACTAAGAAGATGAGTGCACTTACGTCATCGATTTTTTCGAGAAATTAGGGAGAAAGAGAAGTTCTGCGTGCGTCATGCCTCGCGATAGATTGACCGTCGAGCTGAATGAAATTGTTTAATACACAATTGTGTATTGTGTACGTAAAGATATTTATGATTCTCGTTGCCTCGTGGTTCGAGGTAAAGCTCGTCGAGCTGAAACTCGAATGATGAACAGATACGTGGATCCAGGTTCAGTCCAAGGGCTGAACCTGGAAACCTGCTGCTGCTGAAGCTCGTGGCCATGCATAGGTGGACAGTGGGGCCCCTCTCCCTCCGAAGCACCCGCAGCGTGGAAGATTGTCGGAAGATTGTCGGAAGATTCCAAGGGGAACGCAGCTCAGACCAGTAGGGGGAATTGCGGTGACTGTGCCGGTCGTGTCCAGGGTCCCGAGCTATAAAGCTCGATGAAAGAGGCATCCCGATTAAATCATCCCAACCAGAATTGCATAGCATCAGCTATCGCAAGCGAGAAAAGAAATTAATCTATCCACTCCACTCTTTCGAGTAGTCGAGATTTGAGAATACGTACTTCCGGAAACTGTCCGGGCTAGATTTTTCATAGTCGTAATTTGAAGTAGATTAAATCCACGGGTGCGAAGAATGTCTGCGAAAATGTTGAAATTGCTCGGCAGTCTGTTCTCGAAGAAGGTGAAAGTGCCTGGTATTGCAGTAGTGAGAAATGGCAACCCATTCGCTGAGATTCTGTCGACGGATCCCGCCGCAAGTTCCTCGACTTCACCGACGAGATCCACCGTTCAGCGGATCGAGCTCAAGCGGCCCTGTGTCCTTGAGCTCTTTGAGAGGGAGCAGCAAAACGTTCACGAGGCCTTCAGAATCATCGACAAGAACGGAGATGGAAAGATCTCGCAGGACGAGCTGGGAGCGATGTGGGAGAGGCTGGGCGAGAAGGTGACAGACGAGGAGCTGCGGCTGATGGTCGAGCAGGCCGATACGAACGGGGACGGAGTGATCGATCTGGACGAGTTCGTCATCCTCAGCAGGAACATCGGATTGGGAGGCCATGATCACGATCTCGAGAAGAGGGCCGAGGAGCTCAGACTCGCCTTCAACGTAGCCGACTCCGATCGAGACGGCTTCATATCGGCGGCCGATCTGCAGAAGCTCATGAGAAGACTCGGCAAGCGAAAAGCAACCATCCGCGAGACCACGACCATGGTCAAATGTGTGGACTCCGACGGTGACAGCAAGATCGACTACCAAGACTTCGAGAAGCTCATGTCGTCCACTGTCCTCACGCATCATAAAAAGCACTGAACCGTATCTGAATGTACCTCCCTACTGACCTGCACGCATTGCTAAACACACTCTCACTCTTTCCATACCACCGACAGTCTCGTCGCCGGGTGGGGCTTGAATTTGCAGTAGTGCAGTAGAAGTAGTAGCATCAGCAGCAGCAGCGCACAGGATATTGAGTTGATTTAAGAAATCAGGAGTTTGGATCTTCTTTTTTCAGACGTCCGCCCGTGCATTCGAAGCCCGAAGAGCTGCAGCTCTTTCAGCACGAGTAGCAAGGAGGTGGACGTCTGTTCTCGACAGCAGCAGCAGCGAGCAAGCAGTTCACGTGCATATCGAGCCATGATGGGCTGCACTACAGATTTACCAATTAGAAGGTTATTGATCTACGAAGCAGGTAAACTTTAGCAGAGGAGACGACAAAGCTTTAGCGAGGAGACCTGTCTACTGCAGGCCACGAAGCACAAACCACCATGCACGTGAAGAAGGCCTATCTAAGAGTTCATCCTAAGAGTTCATTCTGGAGTTGGAGCCGTGGCTGGGCCATCGAACCGTCCGACTCTAGAGTCCATTTCCGAGTTATTGTTCCGCCATCGCAAGCACTGAGGTTTATTGAGCCCGACGGGGGCTCAATTTCCATCTTTGCGGCACCGAGTGCCGTCGATCCGAGCTGTGCATCTTGTAGCCATAATTATTTTTCCAGTTGCGTTTCTGGCGATCGTCTGTTCGTAGATAGGTGATCGCGAGCGCACTGTGACAACACGTTTTCATGTAGACATTTTTCCACGAATGTAAAGCTTGTAGATAGAAAATCAGCTTCAGCTCTGCAAGGTCATCGCGCATGCCCTTGCGGTCGTTCGTTATCGGCCGCGATTCTGGAGCTGCTAGTGGCCATTTCTAGATCGATAGATCGTACGCATTAGATTTTCTGCTATGCCTGTAAGTAGTTGACAGTTCTGGAAGCTAGCATTATATGAAAATGAGTGCAGAGGTAGGGATTTTGAGCTGATTTAGCATTCTGACTCTTGATGGTACATTCAACTGACTGATAGTTCCTAAATTAGTATAGAGACATTGTGATACAACCTCTTTTCTCTAACGTAACCATGATTATATCTTCCTACACTGGTCTCAATCCCAACTTTAGGGAACCATCCCTCTGCTCAAGACTGAGCACACAGTTCTCATTTGCTAGGGCCATGCTCAGTCATCAATCACGATGAATGGATATTCTAAGAGTACGTGGGGGCTTTCTGTACATTGTATATGCATCCAAACCAGGTCTCGTTAACAGCATGATTCACAACTCTTCTTTCTAAAAAATACGGGAGATAAGCCCCATAAGGTGTCTCTAATTTCGATCGACAATCCGACACTATGATCAGAGATGTGTCACTTGCCAACCTCCGTTGAAAATTATTTAACTGGGAAATTAATGGAGCTTACGTAGGTGTTGAAAGTTTCAACAAAGTATCCAAAGTAGGAGCAAAGAGCTACAGCCTGTAAACTTTGGTGGGTACCGAACGAAGATACACCATTAGCTCGTCCCTCAAACCCGCTAAAGCTTTCTCTATTCAATGTGAGATTTCTCTTTTACTTGAATTATGTATTAGAAGTTAATGCTCATATGACAGTACGTGCGCTGCTTATGATGAGAGACCCATCTATCTGTACATGTCGAGACTCAGTTCGAAGTAGAACCAAACCGACCGACCAACCAATTCTGAAAGTCATGACACTCCAGTCTGGAATATGGATCAGTCTAGATCCGAGGAAGGTCAGGCCTGGCAAAGGCCAAGCAAACCTATTCATCTAATGCATTTCTGAAGTTACGGGACGCTCGTGATGCTTGCACGGGCTTATTCGGAATGTCTACTGGGGAGACGGTTCCATGTAAGGTTCTGGCAGGAACCTTCTCTTCTCCTGGTTGCGTCGTTTTCTCTCTCGGGAGAGATCAGGGCAGAGATCCGTGCTGAAAAGACAGGGTTACCCAAAGGAGAAGAAAAGAACTGCACTAGTAATACATCGATCGCTCCAGCACGTAGACATTTAAGTTCGAAATATCCTCAGCCTAATTAGCGACTTGTCAATCACACAACGCTTCACGTTCTGGATAAGCCGTTGTCTCTTGTCGGCTCTGTAGTCGATCTTCAACTTTTAATCTTCCTCAAAGCAAGTGAACGAGAGTATCTGCAGTTCTTAATGCCAATAATATTTCCTTTCTAATGCTACAGCAAGATACGTCTGCATCGACCTCTCATCCATGTAGACCTTTAATGTGGGAAGTATCTCAGCCTCATGAGCGACTCCTTGATCACAAAGCGCTTCACGTCCTGGGTAAGCCGTTGTCTCTTGTCGGCTCTCTGGTCGTCGATCTGAATTTGTTCATCTTTCTGAGACCCAGTGAACGATTATATTCTCCCTTCCTAACGAGAATATAATCGCTCACTGGGTCCACAACGACATACGTCTGGAATGACGTTCAGTGGTTTCGTAAGTACTACCTGGCGAAAGATTTAATACAACCATACAAGTCTTATTCAATGCAAGTGACGTGACTTAATTGCTAGACGAATCTAGGTTCAAAGAGCGATGGACGGGTTTAGCTGCACAAATTTATACATAGCCCCTATATAGGGATTTCATAGACCCAGTCAGGTGTCATACTGGAGTGAACCCTTACGTAAGTTTTTCTTTTCGTTGCGACTCTCCTATTTTGGACCAAAGATGTAAGAATGTGCAGGTTACCTAAAATTCTCATTCCCAAAACTGAGATAAAATCCGGCTGACTCGGGGCAGCCTGAAGAAAGAAGAAAAAGAAAATGGGATCACTGACACCTGGCAGTACGGCCGTTTGTAAAAATTTGTGTCTCTCAAACTTGTGTAAAAACTCAGCGAGTCGAAGAGGGATGTGGACTTATTTCTTCGCTGGACTCTAGCCTCTTCAACTTATGATGAAACTGTCCATCAGTCTTGTGAGGTTAAGAACGGAATATTATGAAGCAATTCGGAAATCTGCTCTGCTCGATATGTTTATGACGGAAAAATTGGAGTAGAAGTTGAAGAAGATGACTCCTAGTGGAAACTAGAGCGTCAAGGAACAAATCAGACTAAGAAGATGAGTGCACTTACGTCATCGATTTTTCGAGAAATTAAGGAGAAAGAGAAGTTCTGCGTGCGTCAGCCTCGCGATAGATTGACCGTCGAGCTTAATGCAATTGTTTAATACAAGTACGTACGTAAATTTATGATTCTCGTTGCCACGTGGTTTGAGGTAGAGCTCGTCGAGCTGAAACTCGAATGACGAACAGATACGTGGATCCAGGTTCAGTCCAAGGGCTGAACCTGGGAACCTGCTGCTGCTGCTGCAGCTCGTGGCCATGCATAGGTAGACAGTGGGTCCCCTCTCCCTCCGAAGCACCCGCAGCCTGGAAACCTTGTCGGAAGATTCCAGGAAAAACGCAGCTCAGCCCAGTCGGGCGAATCCCAGTGACTATGCCGGTCGTGTCCAGGGTCCAGGGTGTCCAGGGTCCCGAGCTATAAAGCTCGATGGAAGGGGCATCCCGAATGACAAACCAGAATTGCATAGCGTTAGCCATCGCAAGCGAGAAAAGAAATTAATCTATCCACTCCAGTCTTTCGAGTGGTCGAGATTTGAGAATACGTACTTCCGGAAACTGTCCGGGCTAGATTTTTCATAGTCGTAATTTGAAGTAGATTAAATCCACGGGTGCGAAAAATGTCTGCGAAAATGTTGAAATTGCTCGGCAGTCTGTTCTCGAAGGAGGTGAAAGTGCCTGGTATTGCAGTAGTGAGAAATGGCAACCCATTCGCTGAGATTCTGTCGACGGATCCCGCCGCAAGATCCTCGACTTCACCGACGAGATCCACCGTTCAGCGGATCGAGCTCAAGCCGCCCCCTGTCCTTGACCTCTTCGAGAGGGAGCAGCAAAACGTTCACGAGGCCTTCAGAATCATCGACAAGAACGGAGATGGAAAGATCTCGCAAGACGAGCTGGGAGCGATGTGGGAGAGGCTGGGCGAGAAGGTGACAGACGAGGAGCTGCGGCTGATGGTCGAGCAGGCCGATACGAACGGAGACGGAGAGATCGATCTGGACGAGTTCGTCATCCTCAGCAGGAACATCGGATTGGGAGGCCATGATCACGATCTCGAGAAGAGGGCCGAGGAGCTCAGACTCGCCTTCAACGTGGCCGACTCCGATCGAGACGGCTTCATATCGGCGGCCGATCTGCAGAAGCTCATGAGAAGACTCGGCAAGCGAAAAGCAACCATCCGCGAGACCACGACCATGGTCAAATGTGTGGACTCCGACGGTGACAGCAAGATCGACTACCAAGACTTCGAGAAGCTCATGTCGTCCACTGTCCTCACGCATCATAAAAAACACTAGACCGGATCTGAATGTACCTACCTACCGACCTGCACGCATTGCTGAACACACTCTGACTCCTTCCATGCCACCGACCGTCTCGTCGTCGGGCGGGGCTTGAATTTGCAGTAGTGCAGTAGAAGTAGTAGCATCAGCAGCAGCAGCGCACAGGATATTGAGTTGATTTGAGAAATCAGAAGTTTTGATCTTCTTCTTTCAGACGTCCGCCCGTGCATTCGAAGCCCGAAGAGCTGCAGCTCTTTCAGCACGAGTAGCAAGGAGGTGGACGTTTGTTCTCGACAGCAGCAGCAGCGAGCAAGCAGTTCACGTGCATATCGAGCCATGATGGGCTGCACTACAGATTTACCAATTAGAAGGTTATTGATCTACGAAGCAGGTAAACTTTAGCAGAGGAGACGACAAAGCTTTAGCGAGGAGACCTGTCTACTGCAGGCCACGAATCACAAACCACCATGCATGTGAAGAAGGCCTATCTAAGAGTTCATCCTAAGAGTTCATTCTGGAGTTGGAGCCGTGGCTGGGCCATCGAACCGTCCGACTCTAGAGTCCATTTCCGAGTTATTGTTCCGCCATCGCAAGCACTGAGGTTTATTGAGCCCGACGGGGGCTCAATTTCCATCTTTGCGGCACCAAGTGCCGTCGATCCGAGCTGTGCATCTTGTAGCCATAATTGTTTTTCCAGTGGTGTTTCTGGCGATCGTCTGTTCGTAGATAGGTGATCGCGAGCGCACTGTGACAACACGTTTTCATGTAGACATTTTTCCACGAATGTAAAGCTTGTAGATAGAAAATCAGCTTCAGCTCTGCAAGGTCATCGTGCATGCCCTTGCGGTCGTTCGTTATCGGCCGCGATTCTGGAGCTGCTAGTGGCCATTTCTAGATCGATAGATCGTACGCAGTAGATTTTCTGCTATGCCTGTAAGTAGTTGACAGTTCTGGAAGCTAGCATTATATGAAAATGAGTGCAGAGGTAGGGATTTTGAGCTGATTTAGCATTCTGACTCTTGATGGTACATTCAACTGACTGATAGTTCCTAAATTAGTATAGAGACATTGTGATACAACCTCTTTTCTCTAACGTAACCATGATTATATCTTCCTACACTGGTCTCAATCCCAACTTTAGGGAACCATCCCTCTGCTCAAGACTGAGCACACAGTTCTTATTTGCTAGGGCCATGCTCATTCATCAATCACGATGAATGGATATTCTAATAGTACGTGGGGGCTTTCTGTGCATTGTATATGCATCCAAACCAGGTCTCGTTAACAGCATGATTCACAACTCTTCTTTCTAAAAAATAACGGAGATACGCCCCGTAAGGTGTCTCTAATGTCGATCGACAATCCGAGAAGGCAATTGTCCGAAACATGATCCAATTTTGTGATGCGGAACCAAGTGGCTTTCTGTTGTCCAATAATCTGACCTTACATCGGATTCGAGAGGCACATATTTATTTCCTTCATCAGGGTTATCGTAAATATCCTTCCATTGAGTGCATGTTGGACTTATTTCATACACCAAGGTGAACCAAGACCAAGAAAGCATGCCATGGGGTACTGAAATTAAATGGTATCCACGTTTTACCAGAAGTTTCTTTCTAAATAGTAGATTTTACCCTTCTTTACTCCAGTTTCGCATTTACTGCATGCGCTATATTTTTGTCTCTGTTATACAAAACCAGTCAAGGATGTAGACAGAAAATTGGATGAATGAACAAAGTTCGAACTCAGTGTGACCTGCAACAGTCTGCACATGCCAGGACTAATAGCCTCGATAGTCCTTGATATGCTAGAGCCATTCTAAAATCCCTTGGAAAGGCGTTTTTGGATCGTTTACTGCAAACGAGAAGCAAGCAAGCATGACTTTTCACAAGCATGACTTTTCACGTGATTTGTGACCCAAACAAAATCAAGTGATTGGCTTTTTTGGTCGTAAAGTTGTTCTGACCTTCGCATGTGACCCAGGTAGATAAGAAACAATTAAAAACTGAAACAAACCAGACCTCTGTCTTGCTCTGTATTGCTGTGTTCTAGGTTTCTCTGTTCAATTTCTATTGATTCCTGAAAGGAAGCTTCCCGTTCTTCTCCTGGTGATGCCATCCGTCAGTTTTATGAGGATTCAGCAAGATTATAAGAGAAGAAATAAAGATTTGGTTCCACATGCCATCACTTTCGACTTTCCGGCATCGTAAGATTTGTAAGCCTAGTATAAGGAGATATTGATGGATTTCCCGATATAAAAAGATCGGATCCATCTGTGCAGAGAAGCGTTTCTGGCCTGGCTGGTGAAGGTCTGTCTCAAGAGTAGTGCCGAGAATAAGATGTACCTAGCCTCAAAGTATAAAGTAGTGCTTAACGAATGAACAGGTTGTACGAGTATTTTTCGAGGACTAAGTCAATCCCTTCCGTGTCTTCTTGCGCAGAGCGCAATGCCTCCTCCACCCTCACTCAGCCCTCTCCTCATGTTTCGGTCGACTTCTCGCCAGGTCTTAATTTGTTTAGTAATGATATATCCAAATCAATTTCCGCTCGTCGAACTTCCATCCTTCTTAAACACGCTCTGTCCAATAATATATCTTAGTTCTGATCATTTACCTCCATACCCGTCGTTCATCGTGCATTGCTACAGAATAATTACTCTCTGCCTTGACTGCGAGCTTCTGTTCCTTCGACAACCAGAAGACCAACTATGACTTTAGATCCGAAGTCTCACGCAGAGACGTGGCTATGTGAGATCAAATCTGGGCAGATATGCGGAAGCCGGATGGTCACCTCGTGATGCGAATTAAGCGCGTTCATAGGATGATATCTCGTTTCTGGATGCGAATTACTACAAACTTTACACGTGGTCTTGGATGATGGATGACGTATGCAGCATACTCATTCTTGGAGCATAAGGTATGCTCCAAGAATGAGCCCTATTTGAGTCCTTGCGGTCATGTCCTCTCCTCTGAGCAGCGGCCAGGACTATGTGCACAGCGCGGAAGGTTACAACAGCTTCTGTCTGACGAGTGTTCAAGATTATTATCACAGAATAGATATTCATAACAATCAAATCATCCAGTCCAGTGGATCTTTGGCTCCACCATGGCACGACATAGTTGCAGCGCATCATTCTTTCTTTCATTGCGCGAACAATCTCTGAATCCGACCTTGAACGAAATTTTGTTGATCAGAACAGGATTGTTTTTGTATGAAATACAGCTTTCTACCTCAATCATCTCAAAAATTTTGTTTATGAAATATTAATCTTGGATATTAATAGGATGTAGTACCCGAACTGAGTCAGATTAATTAGAAAAAGGAGCTGAATGAGAAAGCAGACATCGATTGTGCAATGTGTGATTGAAGTCTGAGCTGTTGTGAGATATGTTACAAACAACAGTCATGTACCATATTCCCTGTGCGCTTGCCAACCTCCAGAAGTGATCACGTGTCTTCCTATGCGTCTTCGATTCGAATTCCACAAACTTGCGTCTAGGCATCAATACGAGCAAATTCGGAGACAAGTGCGACACCTCCAGGGCTTTGGATAATTCTTATACCTGAAAACTTTGTCTGACGATCGTTTCTTTTTTTGAGCAATATATCACCACCTCTCAGGCGTGCAAGGTGTAAATGATTGTCACACAATTTCAGTCAGAAAGTACGAAAATTCAACTTTCGGTAGCAGGTTTGTCCGTTTTGTCGAAAGTTGTCGAAAGTTCGTGCTCAGTTTCTTTCAAAATCGCTAATTCACGAATTGCCATTAAGCTGAAGGAGAAGTTTCTTCTTCCCTTGGTATTCTACATATCTTCTATCCCGAACATGAAAAAAAATGGAAAAATTCACTGATTGGTTTTCTCCTCAATCAGGATAGGGAGCATTGAGAAAAAAGACATTTCTCTTGGCATATACTTCAGCTAAAGTCAGAGAATATAAAGCTGAAAATATTCAAATGGTTCAAATCTGATAGACTCCAATTTAAAAAAACCGAACGTGCCATGCGCTGGACCAGACAATGGAGCGCTCCACGTTGTACAAACGCAGTTCGCCAGAATCGAGATTAAAATCCAGGTCCGAGCCTCTACCCTGGGTATTGGTAGTCCAGACCTGCAGAGAATCCAGATCCACCGATTTCAACCCCACAAGATTCATATGACAATGGCAGCAAGGAACCTTCAATTCATACATGCTTCGTGGAGATCAGAGTTAAGGTCGAGACATGAATGTTACCAGTTTGTTGCGCGAATCTTTCAGCTCGAGGGCACCGCCGTGGGAGAAGGTAAGGGTGCCGCGCTCATCCACGAGCACATTTGCTCCTTTCGTTGTCGCTCTCCAGAACGCTGGACCAGCCGTGTTCGTAGTCGGGCTCCACTTGTAGATGGAGAGGTAGAAACCACGTAAGCTCCTCTCGAAGCCCAACGCATGCAAGCCATTAATGTCGAGGGATATCAAGTTTCTGTGAGAGTCACTACCATTAGATGGGTGCATGGGATACTCCAGAGGAGGCGTGCATTGCACTCCTTGGCGCTGGTTGATGCAAACCATGTCAGGGCGGTGCTGCATGTCGAATTTGAACGAGTTCTTCTCCACGTCTGGAATGCTCTGCCAGATGACTTGATGGTCCTGGTTGGAGAGAAGCATGTTTCCTGCAATTGCCTTCGACTGCTTGCGGAAATTGAACTGGAATTCTGTCACTCCCAAGCCAGTAGCATTTGGAGTCCATTGCTGCGAATCCGTCAAATCAGCGACGTTAGAGATTCTGATCACGGCACTCAGCTACTCTTTCGTCAAATCCAGTCAATATTCCATCTCTATTGCAGCATCGAACCAACTTTAATGCTGCAAACTAGCACAAGGTGGCTGCCATGTGTGAGCTCATGATCTCACCACAACTCCCTTCGTATCTATGAGCTCGATGTTGCCAGATTTCGAGAACTTGAGAGAAGACGCTGCAGGGACTTGGACATGCACTCCACTGGATGTAGCAGCTCTCCAGATAAAAGGGCCAGCCGACTTGTTGCTGGGGTTGTACGTGTATATAGAAAGGTACACGGATCCGAAGGTCGCTGTCTCGAATCCTAGAGCGTAGTTGCCGTCGGCGTTGACAGAGATGATGTTGTGGTGTGAAGGGCTGAACCCTGCCGTGTTCATGGCGGAACGAGGAGGGTTTGTGCAACTCACTCCAGCTTGGGAATTCTTGCACACCATGTCACCTGAGCTGAACTTGTACACGAACTTATCATTCTGTGCGTGGACTGTCGTCACAGAACAGAGCACGAGTGTGCGTACGAGCCAGAGAAGAGCAGATCGAGCCATTATGCCTGAAACCATCACCTGGTTGCCCTGTTTTCCCCCAGACTCCAGCAGCTACTAGAGAACGTAAAATTGACAGCAACCTCAGTCTTCACTAAATCTCAAGTTTCAAGTCCACTAGCACTTCCTGACCAGCCCAGCTACAACTCACAAATCACAATGTTGGCTCGAGATCATTCGGTGACCTATTTATACAACTGCTGTGTCTTGCATGCTCATATTCGTACTCGCATGAGCATTGTCATCATGTGAGTGAAAATAACCATGTGCGTCGGATCAGAACAGGTTTTGCTGATGTACTGCTGCTTACTAGCTAGGCCTCTGTTTGGATGTGGGCTTGGCCTACTGCACCTTTCCCTCGTCTTTACAGCTGTTAAGCTTTGACTGGGTGAATCTACTTGCTTGATTTCAGCGTACCTAGCAGAAATAGGTAGGCAGGCAGACGAGCGGAGAACGAAGAGGTTTTCCTGAATTGGAGAGATCATGCTGCAGTCTGCTTCTGAAGGGGATTTACTTCATCATAATCAAGAAAATCTCCCATCCCTGTCCAAAGTGAAATCTGATGGACTCGCGCTTCGGATTCAAATTTTACTCCACACGGAAGTGAGGTCGTATGGACGGTAACGCTGGCGAAATATATCGATGGCTTTGGATGCTCTCAAACTCTCTCAAGGTTCCAAGACAAACCGCAGAGTTATGTGTCGTGACTGGACAAGGTGTTCGGATGGATTCAAGCGGCCAGTAATTTTAAATGGGCGAGAACGAGGGGTTCCAAATTTCAGAGGATAAGATACACGCAGGAATTAGCTGGGGATGGCACATTGACCGAGCACGCAGTCAACACTGCTTGCTGACTGTAATCGGCTCAGACAGATCAAAGTTACTGTCTGTCACCTTATCGATCATTGGATGCCTTGCATGTTTCGTTGACGTCGAGTCGTCGTAATAAATCGTTGGAAGTCAGTGGGGTTTAGCATAGCGTGAGATCCCCGAGCTCAGCCTCTGATGACATGCCTCGTTGGATTACAGATGCATGCCACCACAAAAGCGCGTGATGCAGCTTTAAAGTTGGTGCTTTTCCAAATTCTCATTCATCAATGTTCTTGAACAAACTCTTCTTCCGAATAAAAAGTACAGTGACACGCGCGTCTGAAAGGCAGTCGCTGTCAAGGAATGTTGGACTCTGAAGGGCAAGAGAGAGAGAAAGTCGAGCAGTTTTCACATTCCTATGGGGGAACGGTCCAGTGAACTAGAGCTGGTCCTGGCGAGGTTCAGAGGAAGCGAAATGTACGCTGAGAGTTTGCTCAGAGCTTTGGTTCAGTTTCAAAGCGAGCATTGGGGCCTCTAAACTACGACGGAGTATCCGAGGTGCAGAATAATTGATCCGTTTTCAGCACTCGATCTGACTCAGATCGAACAATTACAAATGGACCTCGCACCGAGCACGTCCTACAAGTGGTATTCGGGGTCTTGAATTATTTTTTGTTACAGTTATTTTAGCACATATAATTTCCTATTTTATAATGTTTTTGTTTGTCTCTTGGTGTTTTGTATATAAGGTCAACCAAATATACCCTTAAGTAGAATTGCAAAATCTTTTTCTATAATAAATATATCATGACAATTTATTCGTGGCGTTACCCTCCATGTCGAGTAAGGTTTGAAACCGAAGCGGGAATCCAGTAAGACACGAACGATTTTGATGAAGTAAATGTCCTCCAGAAGCAGACATTAACTGTAACATTATCTCCACGATTCAAGGGAGATCTCTCCGATCTCCGCTGGCCTGGATACCTACCTCTGTTTGGAAGAAGTCTTCTGGGTATGGCTGACATCACACAACAAGCTGATTCACCGAGTCAAAGCTAAGCAGCCTTTAAGACGAGGGAGAGCTGCAGTAGGCCTAGTCCACATCCAAACAGAGGTCTAGCATGTACACAGAACTTCATCCGCAAAATCTGCTTTGATCCGACCACACATGATTATTGTCATTCACGTGGTGACGATGATCAGATGAGGACAATGCTCATGCGAGTACGAATATGAGCATGCAAGACACAGGAGTTGTATAAACAGGTCACCGAATGATCTCGAGCCAGCATTGTGATTCGGGAGTTGGAGCTGGGATGGTGAGGAGGTGCTAGTGGACTTGAAACTTGAAATTTAGTGAAGACTGAGGTTTCTGTCAATTTTACACTCTCTAGTAACTGCTAGAGTCTGGGGGAAAAAAGGGCAACCAGGGCGATGGTGTCAGGCATAATGGCTCGATCTTCTCTTCTCTGGCTCGTGCACATACTCGTGCTCTGTGCTTTGACGACAGTCCACGCACAGAACGACAAGTTCGTGTACAAGTTCAGCTCGGGCGACATGGTGTGCAAGAATTCCCAAGCTGGAGTGAGTTGCACAAATCCTCCTCGTTCCGCCATGAACACGGCAGGGTTCAGCCCTTCACACCACAACATCATCTCTTTCAACGCCGATGGCAACTACGCTCTAGGATTCGAGACAGCGACCTCCGGATCCGTGTACCTTTCTATATACTCGTACAACCCCCGCGACAAGTCGGCTGGCCCTTTTATCTGGAGAGCTGCTACATCCAGTGGAGTGCATGTCCAAGTCCCTGCAGCGTCTTCTCTCAAGTTCTCGAAATCTGGCAACATCGAGCTCATAGATACGAAGGGAGTTGTGGTGAGAACATGAGCTCACACATGGCAGCCGCCTTGTGCTAGTTTGCAGCAGTAAAATTGGTTCGATGCTACAATAGAGATGGAATGTTGACTGGATTTGACGAGAGAGTAGCAGAGTGCCGTAATCAGAATTTCTAACGTCGCTGATTTGACGGATTCGCAGCAATGGACTCCAATGGCTGCGGGCTTGGGAGTGACCGACTTCCAGTTCAATTTCCGCAAGCAGTCGAATGCAATTGCAGGAAACATGCTTCTCTACAACCAGGACCGTCAAGTCGTATGGCAGAGCATTCCAGACGTGGAGAAGAACTCGTTCAAATTCGACATGGAGCACCGCCCTGACATGGTTTGCACCAACCAGCGCCAAGGAGTGCAATGCACGCCTCCTCTGGAGTATCCCATGCACCCATCTAAAGGTAGTGACTCTCACAGAAACTTGATATCCCTCGACATTAATGGCTTGTATGCGTTGGGCTTCGAGAAGAGCACCCGTGGTTTCCACCTCTCCATCTATCCATGGAGCCCGATTAGGAACACGGCTGGTCCAGCGATCTGGAGAGCGGCAACAAGAGGAGCAAATGTGCTCGTGGATGAACGCGGCACCTTCACCTTCTCCCACGACGGTGCCCTCGAGCTGAAAGACTCGCACAACAAACTGGTAACATTCATGTCTCGACATTACCTCTGATCTCTACGAAGCATGTATGGATTGAAGGTTCCTTGCTGCAATTGTCATATATATCTTGTGGGGTTGAAATCCGTGGATCTGGATTCCCTGCAGGTCTGGACTACCAATACTCAGGGTAAGGCCTCGGACCTGAATTTCAATCTCGATTCTGGCGAACTGCGTTTGTACAATGTGGGGCGGTCCATTGTCTGGTCCAGCGCTGAACGCCATCGAGCCTCGTAGATTCGAGTCGATCAGATTTGAAACATTGAACTATTTTCTGCTTTATATTCTTCGACTTTTCGCTGAAGTATTTGCCAAGTGAAATGTCCAGTTTCTCAATTCTCTTCATCGTTATTGAGGACAAATCCAAATAGTGACTTCATCCGCTTCGTTTTTCATGTAAGGAATAGAAGATGTGTTGAAAACCTAGAGAAGAAGAATCTTCTCTTTTCACTTACCGATATTTCGTGAATTAGCGGTTTTGAAAGGAACTGAGCACAAGCATTCGAGAATCTTTGATGCAAATTGGACACTCCTGGTACCAAGGGCTCGTCATGTGTTGAATTTTCCTACTTCGTGGCTAAAATTCTGTGACGGTCATTTATTCCACGCTCGCCTGAGTCGTGGTAAAGAAACGATCGTCACACAGAGTTAAAGCTATAAGAGAATATGAAAGGCTCTGGATGTGTCAGTGTTCCTCAGCGAGGCTTTTGCGTGAGCATAGATTTTGCAGTGACAAGAGCCTGCCTTCAAGAGAGATACCTCGAAATATGAACAACCCTCAGAAGCGACGAACAGCAATCAAGTGCTTCTTCATAAGTGCACGTGATTCTCAGCTCTCAGTAAGTATGTGCTTGGATCGATGGATCTGAGGCTACTCACCCTGTGACAAGATATTTCAGTATCTGAATGTATTCACGTCACTTGTGAACGACAGAGCTCGCCGAATAACTCAATCATTTCAAGTCGTATTGTGTAAAATCTTTACAAGCCTTTGACAGTAATCCTTCAAAAAGGCATGAAAAGTCGTTGGTCTCATTCCAAAACAATGTAACGTAACAAAATTGTGTATTCTCTCCTATAAGTGATCCTCTTACAACCTCATCATCCAGAAGAGTGTAGATTGACAGGAAAAAGAATCCCAACGTTGACATTCATACCGCTAAATGGTTTGTGCATCGATATATTGCCATTCATGCAACATGCTCCATGGATTATGGACGACCGAAAGAATAACCCAAACGTAGACTGTATCAAAGTATGTAAATAAGTTCAATAATCGCTATAAAAGTGCTAAGGTGTACTATTTTTTCCTGGAATAAACAATGTTTTTAGATTTTCAATAAACATTAGCGAAGAAAATGCTCCAACGCTTTAAAATAAGAATTTTGTATCTCTAAACACTTTCTCATACTTTGGAATTCTTTGAACTTCAAAATTTTTGGCATTTATATGTTAGTGGCACTTTTATGGCATTCAAATGGTATATATTTTTATTATAAAGAATGTATGTCACGTCCATGTTCACTCATAGTCCAAATTTAAAGTTTGTATCTTTCATATATGATGATTAAAACCTTTGTAAAATTTAAATTTTTAACACATTCTGGATTGAAATCCAGAATGTGTTAGTGCATAACCAAGCATCACAGACACACGAATGACAGTACACACATGTTACATCAAGGTGTAACATGTTTCATCCCAAAAGACTAAGTTCACGTGGAAACGCATCGTGAAATTGTACTAAACGTTGTGTCTAGTAATAAATAGACCTTGGATTTATACACTCAACAACAGCAATCAACCTAGCTCTTAATAACTAGATATTGAGATTACTCTTTAACCAAAGTTAACTTCAACAATCTCACTCTTCACGCGTGTTAAGTAAACAGTAACTTCTATACCTATTCGAGCAACTTAACACAAGATCACTTTTTACTCAAGACTTAACTAGAAATAAACCATAGTCATCACAACATAGATTAATTATATAAAGAGATAACTGAATTACTATGCTAGCAAACTTTACTTTAACTCCCCATACACAACTTTCATAGTAAAATAATGTTGGTTTAAACTTTTTAAAGAAATAACTTTGGTCAACACATTAGTTGGATTGAGTTTATCGTTAATCTTGATTAGAGAGAGCAAAGCTTTCACGAATGCAACCAAACAGCCTCATGTACGACCAGTTTAGATCGTACATGAGGCTGTGAGATATCATGCCTAGTCTGATACAGAAGGCTGAACTAATAGCCTTCTGTATCAAACTAGACATGATATCTTTATGACCACCCGTACTGATAACGGTGAACACACTTGACTCTTGAGGTCTGTCTAGTGACTGGGCTACTAAAGCAAGCAAAGTAAGAATACTGTTATCCTCAAGAACTTTGTGTTCACAATGTAACATGGTTTCCTACTCGTTCGCAAATTTGAGCTCGTTGATGAAAAATGTCGTCAAATCTTGGTGATCAAGTTTTGACCGTAACAAGACAGTGAAGGCAAGTAACCATATATGGATGTATTGACTCCGACTTGTGAGAGAGTCAAACGCCCTAGCAAATCTGATACGTGTTAGCAAAGATAAGCGTAGACTAGGAGTCACCTTATGTTGATACATGAGCTTCTTTAACAGCTCAAGATCATTCTCCGATCGTAGATGCAGATCTCAAGATCGTTCTTTGGTCATAGATGCAAATCTGACATGTGCATGACCTGCAATCTAGAGGCTTTTGAAAGAGGTTTCACATCATCCTTCCCTTGTGTATTTCCATAAGCATAAAATTAAAACTGCAACGTTGATTCCAACCTATACGCGTATACATCACACTCATTTTCAATAGCACAGGCAAATAGCTCCATGCCTTTTTCTTTGACACCCCACCCCTTTCTCATAGTCCCTAGAAAACCCGGTCAAGGGAGCCTCAATATTCTCCAAGGGAGTGTTGATTACAGTATTGATGAATGTCTTTACTGGAAAGGGATACCTTGAAGCTCCAAACTTTTTTTTTGCCTTCAATGGTTTCGCTCTCATTGGAAAACCGTTGATAAGAGTTGTGACATGTCCCTGCTGCCTAGGACCTGCTGATGACATCGCAAGAGATTGCCGTCTCCAATCCGCTCCTATCATGAGTAGCAAGCAAAGACGGCTACTCTTCAACACTCAAATCCGATTGCAGCAAAAAGACACGCACACACTTTTGATGGAAACCCTCGAGAAGTTATACTGAGTGCAAGAACTAATAGCGCCTCCCGCTGATCTTAATCCGCAAAGTCTCTTGTTGCAGTCATCCTCGTGACAAATCTCTCTACAACCTGCAAAAAAACATATACACTATTTTTGAAAACACTATCAACAAGTCCAAACATTGTCAATTGAACAAAAAATTGTACAAAATCCAGCATTTCATTTTAAAAAATATTATAAGAAGAAAAATAAATTATAAAATTTTCAATCCAAAAACATGATCTTCCCTATGTTTTTTGTCATTTTTATGTTTGTGATTCTCGTTTTGCACCGACGATTGATATCAAAGCAATTTTTGATTTGAAATTTGCGTTTGAGCATGTTTTTGGTCGGAAAATTTTATTTATTTATTTATTTTCCTCTAATAAGAATCCAACATATGCTTAGTTCTATTTATAATCGATTGTGATTTGATACATTGTGCCAACATAAACTTTCACTACAATCAAGTACTTTGAGTTAAAGATTATATCAAATTGGCTCTTAATCTGCTTTCAATGAGGTTCCGACTAGCGCTCTCACTAGTCTATAGGTAACATAGACTTTTGATACCTTCTCTGGCTATTTTTATAACTGTTTGATGTGTGTTCTCATACAGTTTGTAGATGTCTTGCTTCGTCAGTTGACAGGTGGCAACTGACGACGCTAAGTGTCAATACTAAGTAAAATCCTATGCGTTAACCTTCGAAAATTTCGCTACTATACTTGCCTTGAGATACACAGAATATAGACGGTAAAAGCTCGAAGTTGGGATCCACTGAAAATAAATGTAATCAATTATGAGCATTTTCAGTTTTTTGTATTTATTTTGATGACGATGTCAATCTGAAAACAGCTTCACATATGATATTTTAAAATATAAACTCTGGACAATCAATTAGGTGAAGAGCACCAAACTGAAAACAAATATCACAACAGGCTGATTCTTGAGATACAATCCCAACTAGTACTTATGAACTAGATACAAAGTTGTTAACAGAAATACTTGGCTCATCTTTACTGTATAACATAAAAAAGTTCAAAGTTTTGAACAGAAACTTGCTTTTGGTATCCGATAAGTTTAAGAGTTGTTCCAGTGAGCAACTAGATACAAAGCTGTGAATATAGTTATTTGGCTCACCTTTACTGCATCTCTTCCAAGAGTTGGTTTCTTTTCAACAAAGACTTGCTCTTGGTATACGTTTTTTGAGTTGTTACACTCAAAGCAGATCTACGAGTTGGATAATTTTTGCGAGCTTCCGAGGTTCACAGAAAAATGGAAAGTGATCACTGTTATTCAATAGAAAGACTCCTGCAGGGGGGTTCATGGCAATAATTCGTTCCTGTGCGGATAATGGTAAAATGTAATCTTTCCCTGTCTTAACGTAGTATCGCGGAATCATTCCGTGTCTCTGCGGTGTCAGATGTAGATACTCGAGAAGCACGCCATAAGGCTGAGGAACGAGCAATGTTTTTGCCAAGATTATATCCTGTAAAACATCATTTGACCCAATATTCAGGAAATGTAGTGAATTTCTGGAGCATGTAGGCTACCTAGTTCTAGCTTTATATATTTCAGAGATAATAATTATCAATTTCTTTTCTTGATTCACAAAGCTTGTGTGAAATACATGAGAAATTCCAGAATTCCTACCTCCTCAGGACTTTCCTCGTAAAACATGAGTCGAGCTAAGTCCAAGTTGATATTCACAGAAGTTGGAGGTCTGGATGGTCCGTTTCCGTAGACAAATGGTTGTCCTCCTGGAGGAATTGTTGATGTACCCTGTGAGAAGTTAAGTGACTCGTCAGAATGAATGATCAAGACAAGAGACGACCAAAACGCACTGTAAGATTCCTTCTTGTCTTAGCAGCTAATAGTATGCAGAAAAGACTCAAATAACAATGGATGATGACATCTACGAGCAGATAAAAATATTATAGCTGAATATTGAATGGCTATCACAAGTCAAATATCTAGAACAAACCACTATAGAAGCTTCAAAGAAGCTTTGATTGTTTTTCGGCATTATGGCAGCGACGAACATGGCCTTCGTTATCCTTTCAGGGCCAAACTTCTCCATCAAGTACGAAATGGAAACTCCTCCCAGAGCATGTCCCATGAGAATCACCTAAGGTAGATACACATACACAGAAATGAGATAACTTGCATTGTAATCTGAAGTCAGAGTTCATGAATAAAAAATGATCTTGAGAAAGAGGATCAATGGTGAACAAGTTGAGGCTCCTAAAGGACAGAAAATTCAACATGTCAGTGTGTAGCATGTCAGAACTTGATTACCTTTCCCGTCACATTATTCAAATACTCGACCACTGGATGTACAAATTGTGCAATCGAGGTGACATTGTCCGCGATGGCTTTATTTTTCCCCTGAGATGTCAGATCGATTGCACCCACTGTAAACCCTCTACTCTGCAGTAAATTGGAAACCTTGTAAAAGCACCAGCCCCCATGAAAGGAACCATGAACAAAGACTATGTGCTTGGTTCCTTTGGTATCGTACTTCGTGGTCTGCGTGCATAAGAGCATGGACATATTAAATTACAAATCATATCGAACGAAAGAGCTATCTAAAAAAAATCTTTGTTTTTCGTGAGCACTTTACAGTTATTACCAATCACAAGAATAATGTTCAATCATTACTGACCGGGATGCTATGAACATCTCGATTACTTGGCTATATTAGAGGTCATGAGCTTGGTGAATTGCTTCGAATACAGTATGTGTATACCAACACCGGATACAGGCGAGGATACAAGCATGTGTCCCTTGGAATATATATACATGCAAAATTTGGATTTCTCATGATGATTGTAGCTCAAAATCACGAATCAATCACCAAGATACGGATAATAGCACCAGGAAAAGAGTCAGAAAGAGATTTCCTAAAAACGTTCGAGAGCTTACCTCTAATGCAGAGGTAGTAGTAGGAAAGAACAAAATGCCAAAGATAAGCAGCGTCAGCAAGCAAGATACTTCCTTACTTATCTTCATTCTCCTTCTGTTTCTTAATCTTGTTCTATAGAAACTCGCAGAAGAAGTAGGCGAGATGTGTTCAACGATCAAACTCATTCTTTGGCAGCTCATGAAGCGTCAATTTATAGCAGCTTGGTCGGAAATAGTGGACTTGCTCGATCATTTGTGCCGTCATTTAGATGACGTACATTTTCCAGAATCTATACATCCTTTACGAAGATAACGTCGAATATCGTGAGGAAGTTTGCATGCATGACACCTAAACTAGGCTGGAACTTCGCATCAAGCTTTGACTACGATGCTCATGCGGAACGAGGTTTGATATATAATAAAAATGTTGACGGGATGGCGGGGCACGAAGCAAGTCAGCTTCTAATACTACAGAAACGGAGTTCAAGCTTTGATTCCAATGCACATGCAGAACGGGGTTTGAAACATAATATAAAATTTGACGAGGTGTAATGTCGCGAAGCAAGTCAGCTTCGAATTGTGCAGGAAGGGAGTTCTCCATATCAGCTCTTAGTAAACAGCTGACGCATCAGATTGCCAAATATCAAGTACTAGTCCTCTTTTTCGAAAGACAAGTTTGTTCAACTACCAGTCTTTATGAGCAGATTTCTCCCGTAATTTATACAAAGGCTCGAGTTTCCTAAGGAGACACCTCAATTGACCGTGGACAGCTCGGTTTGAAACTAAATTTGCAAACTTACCCGTAGTGGCTGCAAGGTACCCTAACTTACCACAAAGAACTAGAAATAGTGAGGTTTTTATATAGGGAATGGTTAGTTATCACTATGTTGAGGTTAATTATACTTCATGTTACTATAATTTGAAGAAAAAAAATATGTGATCGATAGATACCAAGGAAGAACCCACCGGACGGGATATATAATCTTTGTGGGCAGAGAAGTAAAAGATGAAAAATAACGCTCAGAAGTGGTAAATAGATCCAAAGTGTGAAAAGTCTGAAAAACACAATATAAACAATCTAACTCTAATCTAAATAGAGAATCAAAAGAATCCTCTAGCGAGAAAAGATTAAATTGAATGATAATTAAACCAAAATTAAATGTAATTAGTAATTCATTTTATACATTATCGATAATCAAAATTACATTGATCATCACATTATACCTATAATTATATTCGTTTATTACTAAATTTGCTCATTCTATCAAAATTTTATCAATATACGATCGAAATTTGGAGATTTTAAATATATTTGTGAAATTTTATAATAATATTTAACCATACTTAATTTTGTTTTACATGAATCGATACATTCATATATTATGGATCATAATTAAACGTATAATAAAAAAAAGTAGTCAAGAAATATCTTAATGAAAAAAACCAAAATTTGAATATAGGACAAAGTTTCTTTCGAATAATAATTAATGTTCCGAGAAAACGAAGTTATGGCAGAACTACTATAGCTAATACCACCATCGCGAAACATGTAAAAAAACAGCAATACATAGAATATAGCTCGACTCCCGAGATGAGGTGCGAGTAAGTTCGTCTTCTAATAGGGCGAGAACACGCTGCATAACTTTTCTTGATGATCCAAGCGGAGAGGAGCAATCGTGTCCAGCACAATACGAATCTCAATCAGAGTGCAATCTTAATGCAATCTTTTCGGATTACAGCACTAAAATCGATGAAGCTGCCCATGTGATTCTTGGTTCCAAACGTGGATCAGTGTGGACTGCTTGCATGTTAAAGAAATGGGCCGTGAGCAGATTTCTTGCATGATTGACTACGCTGTGCTTCGTGACAGAAGGGGCACTTGTCGCAGAAGGAGCACGGGTGGGCAGATGGTGACTACACCAACGGAAAGGGGTGACCACTTGAAAGTTGACACTCGGATACGTACGAAATTCCAGTAGATACAATCGCATACACCACCACATCTAATTCAAGGAAGGGTGTTCGGTGGTGTTCTTGTACGACGATATCATGAGACCACAGTCACAATTTTAGGCAAAATTTTAGGCAATTTTTACCAGTACCTATCAACCATGGTTCGATATTTTGTGTCTATGATATGACTCAGTTGGGAGCCAACTGAAATCGAAGCGATTAGTCCGTAACCAAAAGTAAACCGAGGTTCCCATGAACTTAGGATCTACAATTCCAAACCTTACGAATATCACTGCATCCGCCGACCCAAGTTTCGTGAGTATGCAGCCTAAGTCATTACGCTGCCAATTCAGATTCATCTTCTTTAAATAGCAATTGTTGCAATAATTCAACCGGAAAAGTCAACCACGTCAAGATGTAGTGGAATGTTCACTGGCGTGGCCTCAGTTTCCTTCACTCACTGTGAGGCAAATTTTCAAAAAATAGCTAAACAAGGCCAGATGTCATAGTTCGTAATGTAAAGGAGAATGGAATATCCTCTACAGAACCTGTCAGGAGGACAGGTTCTAGGTAACGAACTCTAGCAAGGTCGCCACGTATCTCATATCAATAGAAGCAGCAGGCCGCCTGAGGACCCCTGGGCGGTAACATTGCTTACAAGAAACGTGATTTGTTTCATTTGTCAGTTTGTGATTTTCGTTTTGCATGTTTTGGTTCGGAAAATTAAGGTGTAACACGGTTCAAGACAAAATTCTAAATGCATACTGAAATTGAATTGAAAATTATGTTTGACAATACATAAACCCTAGATATATATACCTAATCTAACTTTAAATAATTAAAATCTGTGATTATTCATTAATTAGAGTTAACATCAACAAAATGACGATACTTATAATGTGTGATAAAAATGCAAAATATCTTTTTGGAATAAATTTTTCATATCGTATAAACAACAATGGTGATTTGATTTGTCATTACATTATAGATTCATAGAAAAATTATGTTGTTGATACTACCAATCAAAAATCGGAAAAACAAAATGCTAAGTAAGTCAAATTTATCACACAAATTAAGGTGCTGGACCTATTGACATGTCAAATAATTCGAAAATTTTATTTTCACTCAATTGAGATTAATGATAAACACATATGCAATGTATAAATATTCATAATCATTGAAATTGAATTTATTCTACATTTTAATTTTAAATTTTTATAATTTTTTATACCAAAGCGCAATAATCTTTTATATTGATCCATTCAATAGTAAGCTTGTGGTGACAATATATATTTCAAATTATTCAAATATAAATTTTTATTTTAAAATCTATAAAGATTTCAATGTTCACTAACATTATTACTCTCTAACAAATACATCATTATAGTGTTATTTTAATTCAGCATAAATTTTCTACTAAAGAAACTACTCGTATCAAACACAACTATATTCGAAATCCTCTTCAACTAAAGTATTTTCTTGCACTATGGGCATAGTTTTAGCCTCTATGATCGACCAGTAGATTTCTTATTGGTGAATAATGTTCTCGTGCGCAACCTTTCGAAGAAACTCATTTGGGTTTGGTTACATCAGTTCCGTTCCTTGTAAGCAAGCTGAGCAAGAATTTGAGTGACAACGACAGAAATCAAACCACTCCCGTTGTTAGTAGATCTTCGATTACATACAATGGCTGCGGGCTCCTCACTATCGTTGCGTTGTGTCCTTCCCACTGGACTGCGTGCTAGCAGAGGATCATTTGGAGGTCAACGAAACAACCATGAAATCTACTTTCTCGTTTTGGATGAATGATAATTACTTGGATCCACATCCAGAGGTACGAGATGAATGCATGCTTCGAGTCCATCCGTCGATGAGTCTACTATCGGACTAGTCGTTTGATAGTCCAAAATCCATCGAGCATGTTGGTTGAATAATGCTAGAACGATTCAGAGTCGGTACGAAATTCAACATCGGAATTAATTTTGTGTTCGATCGACATTCTTCTGTACGATGACGAGCTCTGGCAAACACTCACTCAGGCCTCGTAAAAGTATCATTGTCGGGGATGGAAACACGATTTTTCTTGACGTGACATTGTTTTGGATTGAGCTTTTCAAAGTATCTATGTCAAGGAAAGAAAAAGGATTTTTACATATTTGGATTGAGATCTGAATACTGCCTTGCGTAGAGTGTGGCATCCTACCTGAAAGGACTGGCACTGGCAGGAAACATGTCGTCAATATCTGATGTGAGCACATGCGGAAACTGAATTTCTATTAACACGGTGAGTAGCTTCTGATCTATTGATTCAAGGACTTACATTTTTGCAGAGGTGAGAAGCACGCACACTTATGAAGATATACAACTTCCTAAAGTTTTGGTGTGGCAGTAGAGCGAATCATCCATCGACATACACTGTGATTCCTTTGAATGCTGGCTCCAGAGCTCGTGTGCTTCGAATCGAAAGACACCGATAAAATCAGCAACAGACGCGACGTTTGAATTACTAAGCCTAGAGGCAGAAATTGGAGTCTTTCTCCTCTCTCGAGAAAGTCGAAATCCTCGAAGAGTGTAAAATCGAATGCTTCTGCTGCAAGATTCTCTAATATCGGGGCCATAGGCCGCAAGTTCTCATGAAAATGAATGCTCCAAGGTCCGGATGGGCTACAAAGCTAGTTCCAAATCCGCCGAAACTCGCCATTCTATGGGCGAATCTACAGTTTGCAAGTGCAATCCTGCCGCTTAAGCACGATGGACAAGTACATGAACCAAGTGAAAACAGCATTCGAATTATTGCCTGCGGGAATTGATGTGCAGTGCTCCGATCACAAAACTGTCCTGCACACAATTTAAAGGACGATTTGCTGTCGACTAGTACCACTTCGTTACAGGTGCGAGAAGTTCCTCGAGCTGTCGTTACCGTGGTCAAGAACGTTTCGACGGGGAATTCAGCATGAGGAACCTTCTACTTTGGGAGGGAGGGACGGGAAAGAACCAAGTGAGAACCAGAAGGAAGAAGAAGATCATCTAGATCAAAACGTGAGTCAGTCCAGCTTTTGAGTGTTGGAATTTTCCAGAGACAGATTTAAGATTCTGCTATTCCATTCTAGCTTTTACTTTAGGCAGGAGCTAAAAGGTCCACCTCTTCATCACCCATGTTCATACTGATTGGGTGTTTCTGGGTGAACTGGTTTCTGAGTCAAGAGAGTAGCAAAATAGGATTATCATTCGTTTGCCAACAGGAATGTACGATGTTCTGTACATATGAATATCTTATATCCGCGTCTGACTGAGTGCCACCCTCACCTCAAATTTCTCGACTCTCATCTACACTCTTCTGCACATGAACATGCCGCAGAAGATTGATAAAAAAACAGAAATGCAGTAATTTACGAAGGACGTTTAGAAACAGTAGCGGCCAGACGGATGCGGATGGTAGAGGTTTCTTTATGAATGCCGGAGGTTCTTGATGATTGCCCTTACTCTCAATCCCCCTCACAGATCAAAGAGATTGCAAGATCTTTTCTTTGGTAAGGAGATTGGAACAGCAAATGAGAATTGGAAACTACTGTAGTGACTATCACGTGCTCTTCGAGGACATTGTGCAAAGAACTCGAAAAATCGAGAGATTTCGTATCGAACTGATTAAGAACTCCTTTACAGAATAGATCAGGCCTACAGTTCTGCGCACAGATGAGGAGTTCAGGATTTAGTGGAGGAAAAGATGGTGAACTTCTAGTTTGAAAATGTGCACGTGTACTGAGATAGTGCTACAAGTGCAAACACATGAAACTCATTCTTTGATCAATTCTCGTGTCCCATTAGTGAAGTATACCGGACGACAGCCAAGGAGCTCTCCCTATATATTCTGGCCTTGCTTTCTCAAACTCACTGCCTACTTTGTAAGCCAGTCACTGACGCAAGAGTAAATATCGGCTCTGGTGGTGCAACTCGCTGATCTGGAAGTGGATGCGAAGACTTGGTCTAGAATCAGAAGAAAAATCATCATCGCCATCCTGCGAAGTCCCTGGAGAGTTTTATACGGCAAAGAAGGGTCTCGGATAAGTCTCGGATGAACGGATCGGAAGGTTGAGACTAAATTGTATGTCGATTAAAATGGGCAAAAATCTGAGATTTCAACCTTTTCAGTTGGTTTTGGAAGTTTGATATTGTGCACGACTGTGATTGAAATTCTTGGCTGCATGCACAACTCGTGAGGTTTTATGAATTCTGACCGGTGAACTTGTGATACTCGACAGGAAACCAAGAATTACGGGATCGAACCTGAAGAAACAAGTTTCAGAATACTCAAAGACACACATACACATTGAGGGTTTGTGCAAGGACCACCGCAGAGGAACGTGTCTGATTGACAGCTTCAAACAACTTTCGAAAGAAGTGAGTCTTAATCCCAGAGAATGTACATCGTTCGAGCATGATATTAACAGCTCCACGTTAGTCATCTGAGGCCTCATGATATCTCCTGCCTAAAAGTTTGGATGTATCACTGGCAGCAGAGTAAGTCCAAATATGGGATCAATCGTTCGCCTGTGTGACGCGTTTTCCAGTAACTTGTTGTGAGTCTTCTTTTCCAAGCAGGACAGCGACCCCGGAATCATAACTTTGGAACTAGATGTCTTCTTTTCCCGACGTAACCTTCTCCGATCTCGGCAACAAGGTAATACAGTTGAATATCACCTCATCTTAACGGTGAAACGAGTATTTCAGATGGTTCAGACTGAGTTGGTGAGGGTCCCATCTTCTATAATATCTCACGACCCATTCTAAAAATCAAAGACAATATGCACAATTCTATCATTTCTAATTCCAGTGATCATCCAGAACGCGATGACTGGAACTGCGATATTAAACTTCAGGCTAATATAACTATCGGTCCAAGCTTTACAGCCACATCGAATTTTGCTCATCACTGTCAAATTCATTTCTCATCTGGCTTCACTGGATTGACACACGCACAACGGAATAATTTTATAGATTGTGCTGGAAAATGGCATTGTCCAAGTCACGCTATCCAAGCCTGGAGGGCTGGTCACAGGTGTCAAGTATGGAGGATTGGATAACTTACTAGAGGTTCTCAATAAAGAAACCAACCGAGGGTACGTAGTGCCTCCTGAACTTTCACCTGAATGTGTGGATCTCTGATTCTCTGCCTTTGACATTCAACTTACTTGATTACTATCTTTTCTATCAATCACAAAGAGAAGGTAGTGACGATGTTCGAACTTATTCCACTTTGCAGGTATTGGGATTTAAACTGGTCCGAACCTGACGGAAGGGTCGACAACTTTGATGTGTAAGTAACAACATTACAGCTACGAATCTCAAATTGAGTTTGATCTATCTCTCCAAACAGAAATTGAATGTTCAAATCTGATATTCAGCTGCATGTGCCTGGAGTTAGACTCGTGAAGTGCTCTCTACACCAGAGGATAAATTGCAATTCACGTCTTGTCAGATTCATACGTTCTATCATGTAGGATCGAGACGAATTGCATGCTTGAGTAGAAGAGGTTATTCCAGTACTTATTTCCTAGTCTCACAGGCCCGATGGAACTACTTTCGAAGTAGTTCGTGCGGATGGAGATATTGTCGAGGTTTCTTTCGTCCGACCATATAATGACCAATCTGAAAAACCAATGGTGCCTCTTACAATCGACAAAAGGTAATTTTCAGTTTCCAAGAACCTTTTAGATCCAATTCCACGAAAAACGTTGTTTGTCACGATGTTCTGCTTATTGCGTGCAAGATTTTTGCATAATTTGTCTGTAAATGTTGGAGACGATATTGGTTGTCGTGCTTCTGCATGTCATGCAGTAATGTTTATCTTCTGATGCTGATTTGATAGAAGGAAGAGCCTAGTGGAAATCTAATATTTTGAATACTTGCAATCATACCGACAGTTACCTATTGTTCATGGATTCTTGTGTACAGAATATCTTCAGACTATGTACGTACGGGTTTCATTGGCAAGTCTTCTCATTGAAAGTCGTGCCTTACAGGTTTGCTCTGCATCGAGGGCATTCTGGCTTTTATACTTGCGGCATTTACGAACGCCTTGCTGGATGGCGTGATTTCAACCTCAATCAAACTCGAATTGCTTTCAAGCTTCGCAAAGACAGGTACTCGCGATCGTTTTCTGATAATGAGTTCTACTTCAGTCAGTCTTTCCCTTTCTCCGTTAGTGCAATGTAAGAGAGTAAATCGACTGCTGGAAGACCAGCAGCAGCTGAAAGGGTATGATTCCAGCAAACTGTGAAGATATTGCCTCACGGTGAATCTGACGCACCAGCCGGGCATGCATTGCTCGTCAGTGCTCCTGCAAGCTGTCTGGGCATCAACTTCTTCGAATAATTAATTCCTCATGGTCTAGCTTTGATACACCAACGTTGCACAGTGTGGCAAACCTGTTCAGAGATAAATCGTTCAACGCAACGAATCGTTCGCAGATTCCAACACATGGCAGTAGCCGAGAACAAGATTCGGTTGATGCCTTTACCTGATGATCTGTCGCCTGATCGAGCCCAACAACTAGCATACAAGGAAGCACATCTTCTTGTCAACCCAAGGAATCCTACTCTGAAAGGGGAGGTAATACGCCTATTCTACCAGTAAATGATTTATGTGCAATTTGGCAGCTTTGGAAGCACATTAAAGCTTTCAGAACAACCATATAAATGATATTCTTCATGATGTAGGTGGACGACAAATATCAGTATCTTTGCGAGAACCAAGATAACAAAATCCATGGCTGGATGTCCCAAGACCCTCTTGTTGGATTCTGGATAATCACCGCGAGCAACGAGTTCAGAAATGGAGGTCCTGTGAAACAGGATTTAACATCCCACACCGGCCCTACTTGTCTATCAGTAAGATGTCTTGCTCTAATGACCTTCTGGAATTTGGAATCTATGAGAGTCATTTTCATTTGGATGCCATGTCAATTGTTCTAACTCTACGACTTTTGTTTCCCAGATGTGGCACAGTGCACACCTTGCTGGTATCGAGCTATGCCCTCAATTCAGAAATCAGGAGCCTTGGCAGAAGATCTTCGGTCCTGTTTACATTTACCTCAATTCAGCACCAGCTGGAACCGACATGAAGTCTCTTTGGGAAGAAGCAAAAGAACAAGTACGAGCCATAGGTTTCAATGTTTCTCTCGTTTAGTTGATTGTCTTCCTCCAGGACATTTCAGCATAATTATTGCGTCTGTAACTCTATCAGTTCAGCCTGAACTCAGAAGTACCTGAAGAAATTTGATGACAAAGCAGATCATACGATGTGGCTAATCCTGATTGAACTTTGTCTTTATCTTGATTCACTATTTTCAGAGGATCTACTGACGGTCAAATAATATGTGGTTGCGCAGATGAATGCCGAGTTGCCACAATGGCCATACAGTTGGCCGTCTTCGCCAAAGTTTGCAAAGGCAGCAGACCGAGGTCAAATATCAGGCCGAATTCTCGTACACGACAGGTTCGGTGCTCAGATCTTCAATCAATGCCGATGTTGATCAAAGTGGAAATCCTGTGGATGGAAGTGTTGTCTGGTGTTCTCAGTCGAGTCGTAAACAAAACCAGCTCACAGAAGAGATTTTGTGTGATCAAAAGTTGTACCATGAATGCTTGGTCGCTACCAATGAAATTATAGACGAGATCTCCAATCATAACCTCCAAAAGTTGTGTGTCACTCATTACCCAGGTTTGCAAAGACAGCTCTTTCTCCAGGCGCAAACGCATACTTGGGACTGGCACTGCCCGGAGCGAAGGGTTCTTGGCAGAGGGATAGTAAGGTACATTTCTATGCTAGACCAGGTTTCTCACGTTGAGTTCTTTTGGCACAAAGTTACTGCCCTCCCAATGAAGCGTGTATATGTTATGCCACGCAATTGATATAACTTTTCAAGAGGTACAAAACCAAAATTCACTTCACCTTCGTGGCTCATCTTCTTCTGATGCGAACAGGGATATCAGTTCTGGTCTCGGGCAGATTCCAATGGCAACTTCTCCATAAAGAACGTACTTCCTGGAGTCTACGATCTCTATGGCTGGGTGCCTGGCGTGTTCGGTGATTACAAAAGAGAGGGAGAAACCATTACGATTACTGCAGGTTTGCCTTCAGATTGACATTATCTGTCACATATCTTGAAAGTTTCAAGGGTCTTCGACGTGGATATGGGTGACTGCTCAAGAAATTTCTCTACAGGAGATTGTGTACTTATGATCCTCTGTAATCTAAGCTCATATAGCTCATCAGACTGGAGTTGGCCAGATGATGAAGGTCATGCTCCTCGTCTTCAACTAGTTAGATTGCTTGCATGTGATCCTTCTCATTAGACTTGTGACTTAAACACGAGATTTCGTGCACAAGCAGATTCTCTCTGCTCCTGACGTCCTTCTCTTCACAGAAAAGTCGTCAAAATTGCTGTACGCTAACAAATTCTTTGAAATACGCTGTCACAACTTTTGACAGGAGGCAAGTTAGAGCTGGGCGATGTGGTCTATGAACCTCCGAGAGACGGTCCCACAGTGTGGGAAATTGGCACTCCTACTCGAACTGCCGAGGAATTCTACATTCCCGACGTAGACCCAAAATACATAAACAGGCTTCCTTCTCTGGAGAAGTGAGTGACACCTCTACTCCTCTTCATCCATTCCCATACATTCTTCATTATTGGAAGTAACCTGTAGCTGCTTCTGTAGACCAGCACATTGTCAGCTCCAGTCACGGTTTACGATCCATAGGCAGTCACAGCCTTGAGTCGCACGAGGTTGGATATTGAGCAGGTCGTTGTAGTTCAAGGAATGAGCATTTGCTACAGCAAGAGACCACGAGCATTACAATCGGATCACAGACTGATTATTTTTTTGAGAGAAGATTCACTGGATCCCAGTAGAAGCGGTTATTTATTCATTCACACCTCGAGCATAATCATGACGAGTTGCCTGAATTTCGAGCAGGTGGCGTCAGTACGGACTGTGGGAAAGGTACACTGAGCTTTACCCAACAGAAGATCTGATCTACACCGTCGGAGCTAGTGACTGGAGCAAGGACTGGTTCTATGCACATCTCTGCCGGTAAGAAACGACGTCCATCTTGCTGGGACTGGCGTGATTTAATCGTGTTTTCCACATTGCTCAAACTCAAAATCTTCTCCTCGTCACTGTGGCTCAAATGTCATTCCCCTTGATAAGTGAAATGGCCCTACAAATTAGTAGGAGGTTGGAAATGTTTTCAAAATGTAGTTTAAATGACATAAACCACCTAATGAATCGTTTTCTTATCCAAAATTGTATTGAATTTGTTATCAGGCAATCATTAAAATTAAAATTGTTTGGATTTATCAAGTTTCGTGAAACTTGCAGACAGACGAGGTTTAAAAAACTGGGATGGGATGGGCTTCGTTCGTCACTGTGCAGGAAAAATGCTGATGGAACATACAGTCCAACAACTTGGCAGATCAGATTCCAGCTTCCAGCTCTGAGTCCGAATCTCGGTGATTACAAACTTCGAATGGCGATTGCCTCGTCCAATCTGGCAGCTGTTCAGGTTCGTGCGCATAGATAGATAGATCGCAGAGTTTGGTGCTCTTTGATGGACTTGTCTGCTTGCACCTAGCCTCGATAATCATGCAGCCAATCAGTTAGTAAACATGGAACACACATCAATGTCCGTAAGCATTTCAAGAGTCTTCGAGAGATTTTCGCACTCGAGCTTCGTGACAGTATTCTTCTCTCATGCAGGTCCGAGTCAACGATGCGAGCTCGGCCGATCCCGTGTTCGACACCAAACAAGTCGGCCGGTGCAATGCCATCGCGAGGCATGGAATTCACGGCTTGTATTGGGCATGGAATGTCAACATTCCAGCAGCACTTCTCAAACAAGGAGAAAATGTTCTCTACCTCACGCAACCTCACGCAACCGGTCCATTCAACGGAGTTCAATACGATTACCTGCGCCTCGAGGCACCAGCACCACCAGCAGCAGCAGCTGCACCATCTTCTCTCGCCTCCATGACAACGACAACGTTTGGACACACGGAACGAGTGAGTTCTGAATGAGAATTTTCGGCACCGATCCAGGTCAATATTTAAAGATCGATGCGGCCTCGATAGAGAATATCATCCTGTGTAATGCAATTATTCTGTCATGAATCGGTGCTCTGAATCTTAATATACTTATTAAGCTGTCAGGAAATTCCACACGCGTCCATGTGCATAGCTAGATGTGTCTACAGAATGGCTGTCAAACACAATTCCATTTAGATCTTATTGCTTGGTAAACACCTCCGGGTAGATGCAGCTGAAAAGTCGTCAAGATAAAGTAATGACTCACCAAATCGTCGGCCACGGTTAAGTGGTTGATATCCAATGTTCAGCATGATGATCGAGTTTGAGTACAAGAGATCTCCATTAACGTGATTACGATTAGTTCGTTCAGGTTTTACGAGAAATTATGTGGAATTACGTGAGCCACCAACTGGTCGAGCTCAGACTCAGTCTAAAAGTCGGCGCTGGCTTGGATGGAGATTCACGTTCCTAGCGGGGGATCTTGTTCAGCATTGATTGAAATCTTGGCATGGACATTCGAGGGAGGCGCCAGAGCTGCAACTGATGCTTCACACAAATTGTGAGCAGTAAACGCCATGATTGCAGCTGCTTCTGTTAATGAAGAAGGCAGTCTAGATAACTACGATCTGAAATTGGAAACTATAATTCCTGCAATCCTTGCAAAATGTTCTTCTATTATTTCTTCATTTTTCTGTGTAATATGATTGAAATGATCGAAGTACCAATCAGTCGTAGTGACCTCGTCGACAGTCGACTTTTTCTCTATCTAAATCCTTGACTTCACTGATGCAATAATTCTCAGGAATGTGTGAATTGCACCCGATTTTGTCACAAATTCAATAGATTTAAGCCCAAAATAATTAATAGATTGGAATAAAAAATTAGAAAATATAACAAGATCTCTACAAAGAACGAATCGTTCTCGTTACTGTTTTGCACAATGTTATACCTAGTATGAATGAGATCAAGTTTGGAAATGATTTCAAAATTAGTTCTCAACTTAACCGAAAGTTTAACCTCAGAATTTGTAAAATACCTCCTCGCGTTCTTCTGACTTTCATGCCGAAGAGTGGAGATGCTAGATGAATTCACTAATTTCACCATCGTCAGAAAAGACCCAGTGCCCAGGACTGCAGGCCGTGCTATGATCGACTAATTAATTATTCAGCCTCTCGACTTCCGAGTGTGAAACCAAGAGTTAAATGTAGTTCGGAATCCCTCACACATTCCCTCAGTATACTGTCAGCGTACGGGTCGTGAAAAAGTGCGTACATGCTAAGACATGGTGGGTACAGATTGGAGGTTGCCACCTGCTTTAAAATTAACGAATCGGATGTTGCATCGGAGGGTTTAAATTATGGAGGCAGTCTTTGAAGGAGATGCGGACATAGCTGACAGATTCTCGATAGAAATGGAATGAATCATGAAATGCAAAGATTGATACAATTTTCACGCATTCTTGCGCTTTGTCTCTGACATGGTGGGTAGCGTAGCGGCGTTTTGAATTGGAGTGGCCAGTTTCAGAAACCGCCAGTACTTTGAACTGAAATGGATCGGAGTTTATACGAAATGTTCTGCACCGCATGCACCATTGGATGCGATGGCAACCAAAAACTTTCTACTGCTGGAATGAATGGGTGGTCGAATGAAGCTGATGAACGAAACGCACGTCCTATTGTGCTCACTTACCTTCATCTGATAAGTCAGCCTTGGTTCATTCGGGAAAATCCTTCTTCCTTTTTATTATGCAGACCAAACGGAGTGTCGATCGTATAGAATAATTTGTTCATTCTGTACAATTGCGACCATGTAGATTGCATTTCATCATCGAAGTCAGATGTAGTTGGCAATCATAAGAATAAGCTTCACATGCCATTCACTTGCAACTCAAGTACTGCCCTATTCTTTAGAGCTGCTTGACCTTAACGCACATGACAGTCGAGGAAGCTCCGACAAACCTCTCGTCCCTGCAGTGTACGCCTCCACCGTCCCTGCTAATGCCTCACGGGATGAACCATTTGCGCACCGTCCCACCCGCTGCATAAATTTAGGGATGTGAGTTGATTTTGACAAGGAAGGTCCTCGATTTTCCTCGATTTTCTCCATTCCAACCTCAATTGTATACATCCGATGCTCAACTTCGACGTCCAAAACCTCGTCACTTCAAATGCAACGCAACCCTTCGTACATACCCGATACCCATCCTCTACGATCCATTCCATGGCAAACGACATTAACACGTTAATTCGTGGGCGACTTAAGCCATCGCACTGACATTCGGGAGAAATTCGCACGCGTTACTAGGCATCTTTAAACTCACTGGACGCAATCCTTACGAAAATTGCCTTAAACGCACTCTCCTTTGAACAAATATATCGTCCTTTCCAGTGGACACCATATTCACAAGCCTGAAATCTACTCATAGTCCATGAATATGAATTGCCCCTTGGCAGTGACGACAAATTTTACCCTTTTCAATTTATTCATTAAATTATTTATTTATTTATTTATTACTCTCAAATATTTTATTGTACCCAAAATAACCTGTTACAAAGTTCCTATTAGAATTAAATATTTTAATGACATCTCAAGATAAATTACACACGAAATCAAGCACCGAGGGAATATGGGTTTCAACTATCGCTTTCATATTCCCTACATAGCTTCTCGATTCTTCCTGTTCCTTGTGCTATGTTTATGACAAAATCGGTCTCCCCCGAAAGACACCGTGAAAGAGCTTGCAGCAGGGCTGTAATGGACGACGCAAAGTCTATAAGAAGGAAACACGCGATAAGAGAAAAGGATCTGCGAAGCTGGAATGAATTGTCGGGCCAGCTCGTGAGCATTGTGGAGCATGACCAGCACATCCGCGGGCTGAACTCATGGACCTCGTAGTGTGGGATCTTACCTGAACGCGGATGTCTGGTCACTGTTGGCCGTGATCCGAGGCCACCTCAGGTCCGAGAAATAGAAGGGTCGTATCTTTTGGGTGCGAGGAGGGCTGCAGTGGCAGCTCTGCTCGATCGGCTGGCCTGGACCGGACAGCCATGGACCGAGCGAAATTAGTGGAGCCCATGCTCAAGAATGTGGGGAATAGGAAGGCATTCTTTTTTAGTAAGGTGGAAATCATGCAGATCAGATTTGGAGCATTTCCACGAAGGAAGATTGATCTCTTGCTAGGTTCTTCTGCGATCGCATGCTCGAAGTGGCTCCTCTTCGACAGCAAGGCGCTGGGAACAGGTGTGACTGGAAATGGCAGCCCAAATTTGGCGACTGCACGCAGCAGCAGAATGTGCACTTCTCCGACATAACAGACCACGCAGGGAATAATATTCCCTACGGTTCTATATAAGAGCCTAAACGACCAGTGACCATAGAACACACAGCTTTCACACAGCTCCAAACCCGATCGACGCAGGCTTCTGATCCGTGACGACTCTGATCACTTCAACTCTGTTTTTCAGATCTGGTCTCGCAAACCAAAAGCAGCAGCTGAGCTGAATTTGGGCACGAAAGGGGGCACGAAAGCAAAGACAGAGCTCTTAGGTTTTTCTCGAGTTTAATTTCCGCCGTTCTGTCGGAGTTTTAGAGGATCCAGATGGGCTCCTTGATGGCTGGATGGAAAACTCCGTCTTCGGGACAATGTGCGTTTGTTGCTCGCCTCTACCTCCGCCTCCACATGCACTGCTGTTTTTTAGAGCATGTTTCTGATTGACATCGACTGCAATGAATGAATGTGGTTTGCTGTCCGTCCGTCTGGCTGTCTCTCTGTCGAGCAACGATGAGATGAACGCAGGCCATTACTAATTCACAGCTGCTGCTGCTTCTCTTGTGCGCAGCTATGAAGCGGTCCCACTCGTCGTTGACGAAGAATGACATCGAGAAATTCTGGAGGGTGAAGCAGAGCACGTTCAGAAGGCATCTACGACAAGCGCAAAAGGATGCGTTCATGGCACGATCTATCACTGTAAGCGCAACTGGAAAACCTTTCCCAATCATAAACCTCTGAATTTAATGGTAAGCGTAAGCATGTCGATGCTCTCGTCACGATGTCTGATCTATCCAATGCTGCAATCGATTGTCGTCACTCCAGATTGCAGAGGACGCTGCCTCCGAAAGTGGACTCACAGGCTCCGACCACGGAGAGTCCGACGACGAGGTGACGGCCACCACACCCTCATCCAGAAAGAGCTCGACGAGCGACACAAAGATCGATTGGTAAGAAAAATGTCTCGACGAACTCAAATTTATGGAAATCTGTTCCGACAAGAATTCGATTCACGCTCTCCTCCTCCTCCTCCTCGATCCGAGGGAGCTTCTATCCACTATCTGCTTTGCGCTCATTATCTGTCCTGGTTGATTTCTGGCCGAGATCAGGTGGACGAAAAGCCGCTGGGCTTTCTTGAACGAGCCGCCCATCATCGGCAAGAAACACGACCGATACACGGCCCAGTTCCATCTCGAGGGCATGAACAGCGATCCAGACGTCGACGTGTACTCGAATCCAGGTCGGAAGATGAGAAGAAGGGGGAGCTTACCAGCGATGCCATTCAAACTCTAAACTTGATTCCAGTCCCCAAAATCATGGGGGTGTAAAGTATTTGCAGCTCTGGAATGTACCAACAGGGCCTTGTAGCTTTTACTGTAGTGTGTCAGAGACTTTATGAACCCAGAAGGGTTTAGCAGCTCTGATCTCTCTCTCTCCATCTTTCTCCTCTGATGATTCTCGCCGATCACCATAGGAGAGGACTCAGGTCATCTGCATCAGAGCGGGTCCTAGAATGTTAGGGGCCCTCGAGAGACATTATCGAGACTGCCGTGCTGCAAGGATCCCTCGATGTTGACGAGGACTTCCCCGTCCACTTATTGATCCAAGGGGCAAGAAAAAAGGTGTGGAACTAACCAACTGCGCAGAAGCTAAGAATATCTGATCACCTCGGAACTTTACGAGATCGAATTCCATTAGTGCTCCAGATGCGGATTTCAACGAAGGATAATTGGATGGATGGATGTACCGTCAACGTCGAATGGGACTGCAGTCGTTGTTGTTCTCCTAGCAGCATTTCAACCTCTTAGATGTGCCACAGAGCTGCAAAGTACACTGTCCCTTTCGGCAGAGCATACCTTTCTGTATGAGTCTGCATGCAGCCCCAGAGCCATGGGGTTGCTGTTGGTCTGCAGACTTGTTCTGGTTCCAAAAAATTGCGTTCTCTAGCTGCTCCGTTCTAGGTTCGATTCTAGATTTGATTTGGCAGTTCGCAGCGTAGGACGGACAAACCTGGACTCTTGTTCTGCTGTTTATACGTTGCTTGGAACAAGATCTCTATAAGGCATGTTATTCATGGTCTCTATGGGCCAATAAAGTGCAAATGCTTTCTACCAACTGCTTGATGCGTTCACTGTTTCTTAATTGGACCTTCATTTGCAGCTATGCCTACTTCTCTTCCGATTCAACGAACAAGTTCGTGGTTTGATGCACACTCTCCCATAACATGTGGAGGCTTTAGAAGGGTTTAGAATGAGAAGAAATTTTTCAGGACTCGAAGCCGTCGAACATTGTTGTCTTCTCATTTGTGTCTTGAGAGTCAGTCCATTTCGGATGTAGCATATGTGACATTTATTATCGGCCTATAATGGAGTATCCGCTCATGGGAGCTTTTAGTGTTTAGTCTCAGTTGTGTCTCAGAGAGTTTTTGTTTGGAATGTACAGCAAAATCAGAAATCGTGATTCTTCCTGAAATCTGGTCCAGCGAGGAGTTTCGAATCCAGCACATACCGTTTATCTTCTTTCTCGTTGCTTCGCATTCACTGAAAAGCACCGTTTGCAATTTCAGAAGCAAGTTTCATTTCGTGATTCATTATCAAGGTGTGATCCTAAGAAAATACTTGGCCTCCCTTCGTGTTCTTTCAAGGGCTGAAAGCTTACCTATAACTACCAACAAAATTGGACTTCTTTTTCCGACTCGAAATTTCAGCTGAAATGCGAAAATAAAAACCAGTACTTTGCAGGAGAAGTGAGAAACAGACTTGACTTTCAAAACAGCAAGGATTCCATTTGCCCACTGGCCAATTCTGAAAATTCTGATAGCCATAGGATAATCGATCGCAGTACTCTGCACGATCTGGTGGGTCTGAGAAACGTGGGCTCTTGTCAACAAGTCAAAAGAAGACTGATGCCAAGACTGCTTCAACGTGTCTAGAGGTCGGGCACCCTTTGATGCGGTTGTGCTGTTTCTCAGAAACTTCGAAAGATTTCTGAACAGTTTCCGTTCTTTGTGCCTTGAGTCGAACAATTGAAAGTCCTTTGGAATACTCAAAAGTTTAATCATCTCCTTCGATCCCATGGATCATTATCTGCGCAGCACGACCTCACAGAGTGTGTGAAACTCGAGAATGTGGAAGGTCAGCCAAATGGAGAATCAAAGACTTGTGCTCGTGTCATGGATTCTTCACATGATGACACTGGACACAATTGTGCTCAATGACATCCTTCTCGCCGATAGAGCAGCAAGCTTTGAACTGTGCGCAGGACTCAGAAGTACAGTATCCTGGAAGGAGGGGCACAGCAAGAGTGTGACGGGACAGTTTTGGAATGGAGCGCTCTTAAAATCATCTGGAAGAACAGGTTAAATATTGGTCTTGAATTGAACAGTTCCATCTGCAGGTCACACTATGTTCTCGGAAAAAATTATTCCGGAAGTAGCTCGTTTCGTACTTTGGCAGCATCGTCAGCATATGACCATATGATAAATGGAAGCGAAGAATTCCGTTTTTGACCTTGCTGCTAAACGACTATTCGTTCTGTAATGAATGTACCGTTACTAACTTAAACAAGGTGGCATCATTGCTCGGATCGTTAGCACCTGGAAGCAGCATGATCCTATATGGAAGAACTCAAGCACTTCCCCCTCGGTGCTAGAAACTTGCCCTACGCTGCACTACCTTAAATTTTATTCACCAGCTTTAGGCTAATATTATATCGACTGTCACGCATTCTTCCCAATTGTTAATGCTTTGATAGTTTTTTCAGTTCCTTTGGTCCCACTGAAAAAGTATCATTATCTTCGTTATAGAGACAAATGATGATATATTAATAAAGGTCACTAAAAATTATTTTGTTGGCCCTGTTAGGCTATCCGAGTGAGAACCGTGTCATGTGGCTCCTTCAAGTCATGCTGACTCGAAATTGTCCTCGTCTGAGCTTTGTACTGTTGTTCCGAGGAAATCATTCGAGTCAACGAATAGATTCAAGATATTAGTGAGAATAATTTCCATGGACAAGCTGACTTCGTATCATCTTTTGTGATTGACACTTCAAACCTGCTGTGGCATCTACGAAAGAATTCGGCAGTTCTTCCTGAAGACAAGGAGACAACAGTTTCTCAGAATAAAACCTTCACAGGTAGAGTCCAGAACATGAATGATGGAAACTGATTCGGATAATGGCTACATCCTACAGTGAATTCCTTTCAAAACTCTGTTTAGAAAATCGAAAAGCCTGAAAGAACGCCAAAAGAAAAGCCGCTCACGTTAATTTCCAGCTCTGGAGGGGATCTGCAACTATTCTACTGAAGTACAACTATAGGTCCTGGTAGTACCTTTGTGCTGGAAACAGTCAACCACAAACTGCCAGTTTCGGGGCCTTCTGTACTGCAGTGGTCCTCCAAAGCGGATAAACTCCATACGCAAGCTGTATAAATTTCTGACCAATCTCATCACCGAACTCGGGGCATGCAACAAATTGCATCCGAGCATCGATTCAGATTCTTGAAATTAGAACGTCCACTCACAGCCGCTAGTGAAAGAGCAGGGTTGAGAAGGGCCTTCACGTTCAACTTGTCAATTTAGATGATTTAATTACACTGTGGAAAACTCGATCAGAATGTAGCTATACTTCGATTGCAAATCTTCAACGCGGTTACATCAAGAACTGATAGATCTCTTGAGCTTAATTGTAGGTTCGGTGATAGGTTTCTAAAGTTTCATATTTAAGGTTCAGCGCTGCTCGTCATTTCTCAGTCACCATGGGTTCTCTGATGCCCGGATGGCAGACTCACAGACCTGATCTTAAGCAAGGTATGGAAGGCTTTTGGCGTGTTTAGTTTCACTGAGTTTGAGAACAGAATGAGTCAGTTGTTTAGCTATCTAAAGCTTAGTTTGATTGTCAAGTATAATCTTTGCAGTAAGGCCTTTCGATATTTGATTCTGAGAGCCACAGGCTTGAAAGTATACTTTGTCCTTATTTTATTGTTCTTAGCTGGGCGTAATTGTCAAGTTTTGAGGTCCGTGTGCAGCTTTGAAGCGGTCCAAATCCTCGCTGACAAAGGACGACATCGATGATTTTTGGCGGATTAAACAGCATTCAATCAGAAAACATCTACAGCAGGCCCAAAGGGATGCAATGATAGCGAGATCAATCCAAGTACACTCTGCATTACCTGAACCCGAAGAGAAAACATTTGTTACAGCTGATTCCCTGCAAGAGTTGAGAGTTGAAATTCCTGGTTATTATTTGAGTCAAGTACACCCACGAGGCACATCCACTCAAAATTCCCTGAGATCATCAAATGACCAAGTTCTCAGTTTCCTATTATGTTGTTGACTGATTCAGATCCCAGAAGATGCGACCTCCGAAAGTGAGCTCACTTATACTGACAGCCCGACCAGCACTAGTGATGCATCGACACCTACATCAACCGCTCGGACAATCTCCCCTGAAGAAAAAATGGACTGGTAAGCACCATGGCAGTTTTTGTACTCCGGCATTTACTAACCCACTTCTAAACGATTTCGATTGTTTACTTTCTCCTCTTGATTTTACCTCCACGCCTACGCTAAACTTGAAATACTGACTGCTGCAAGTTTGCATGCATTAACATGGACGTCAGCTATACTTCTGAAAATCAAGATACAATCTATGAAACCATCGGATGGAAAATGCATGCTTTAGTTTTAAATTCAGAGCTTGTAATGTCTTACGATGCCAGGTGGACAAGAAGCCATTGGGCATTTCTTAACGAACCTCCGGTGAGCGAGCACAGACAGAATAGATACACAGCACAGTATGACATTCGAGGTAACAGGAGTCATCAGGAGCAGGGCGTCGCTCGCCAATTGAACCGGAGGAGGAGCCTGCCGATCTTGTGACCATATAATTGAGCACTCTTGAGCACCTCACGTCATCTCAGAAAAATGTGGTTTAACTTAATGGGTTGCACAACGCAATGGAATGATGTCCAGGAGTCCGCCCGACAGGCACATGCACAGATTCATTACTGTATATTTCCGTGGTTACTGCTATCCATCTGATTCAATCCCCGTGCATATTTCAAATCCATTTACATCTTCAGATTACCGCCAGAAGAGAGTCAGTCTCATAGCTGATCATATACCCAGATTGCCACGCAAACGCTTTGTTTGTTTGACTTGAGAACCTGTCGCTTTATGATTATCATCTATATCCTGATAGATCCATGACAAAAGATAGATCATCATAAACTTCAACTGAGCAGCAAGTTCAGAGAAAGAAATAGTTCAAATCCAACCTGTGGTAGGCACAGAGACGAAAGGTGGTATGTAATATACTGTAAAACACTTATACTTTGTAAAATACTGGGGAGATCCAACTATTTTCTAGGTTCGGTCTGAGCAAATGTTGATTACCGTAGCTGCTTGCCGAGCCTCACAGCTCTCTCCTGCAGTTTCTAATTAATATTGTAATATAAATTTCTTAGTGATGAAGTTGATTGTGATCGAACTTTCTTCTTGTTGTTTCAGTCTGAAAGCGTATTACTACTATTCTGCAATATATTTGGATATATATAAAAAAATTTAAGTTGAAATCCGTTTATGTTAGAGTAAGATCCGCAGAATTTGGGAGGATTAATAGTCAGTAAAATACTGATGAGCTTCTACTCTCAAGACCAAAGATGACTCAAGCTCAAAAACTATCCTTCAGCTTCGAGAAGCCGTACCTGAAGTCTGGACAAGCCGCGTTTTTTTTCTCAGCATCCTTAACATTCAAGAAAATTGTTGTGATAATCAGTGCGAACAAATTACAAAAAATGCTGGAGGCCTGATGTATCCACATGCAAATCATTCTATAATACTCAGCTTCGATCTGTTTCATCCATATCATAGCCGAAGAAGATGCTCCAGATGCTCAATCGGAAGCCAAAAGCAGATGAAACTGCTGAGACACTACTTGATGCTCTTGAAGCCTTGAACAACACTCTGAAAATGAGAAGGACGAAAGACAGCGAGCTCAGTAGTATTCCCAGTGGCCACTCTTTTATCAACAGCAGGAGACTTGAATCTCTGAAACAGAAACTGTCATGCCACAAATTCAGCTGGAATCTCTTCATGCACTGTGCTTCAGAAATATCTTCAGACATAATGAGCTTTCCGGCTATAAAACAGAATGAGAATACCTTCTTGATCGTATAGCTTTCTTAGGCATTCCCCCTTTTTATTGAGAAGCACGCAATTGCACAGTTTTCATCGTCACATTCACAGTAGTGCATACTTCCGCAGTCGAGAACAAGAGGGTCCAAATTCTGAGTACGTAGGTGACTCCCTCTCCAATCAGACGTAGGACTTGAAACTTTCACAATGGGTTCGCTGATGGCTGGATGGTCAACTCAGCCTTCTGATGCCAGCCAAGGTTCATATTGTTCTCACCTCTCTCTGAGTATTTGAGCTCCAGCCTAAGCATTGTATTGCGTGAATGGCATGATGATCACAGGTGAGGACTGATAAGTGCCTTCTCAAACTTCTGAACATGGATATGGAGGGCTGATATACAAAAGTACAATGTTCTCCTTCCGTCAATCTACAAAATAAATTTGCTTTGGGAAGTCAGGGTCGGTATCCAGACTGATCGGTTATACCAAAAGATTTCATGCAATTGAATGGCTTGATGTTTTGCAGTTCTTAATAGTGCTGCATCGTCCGTCACAAATGATGACATCGAAAGATTCTGGAAGGTCAAAAATACTTCCATCAGGCGCCATCTCCGACAAGCTCGTAAAGATGCGAGCATACCTAGATCAATCACTGTAAGTTTTCCTACATCCAAGTCAGCTTTGGTTACATGATTCTCGAGCAAGATACTTTTTGCCCAGAGTCAAATCGCAAAGCAGAATTATCCCCGGCATGACGCAGAGTTGAATTCATCTAACAACCTGAATCTTCTGACGCTTCAAACAAAATCTTGGAAATAGAAGTCCTGACAGATTTTCACACTTTCAGTCACACAGTCAGCACTACTGTGACTGTGTGATGACGGTGAAGTGTGTGTTTCACACAAACTGAAACAAGTTTGTTCTGCTGACTTGTAAATGATTGCGCTGCGATTTGATCAGATTCCAGAATATGCAAAGTCTGAGGGCTGCCTTGATTACTCAGACAGTGAGTTCAGTAGTCCGTCAACGACACCTCCGCCAACAGATTCTCATCTAAAACGTGCAGTCTGTGGACACAGAACAGACTGGTAAGATCCATTCGATTCAAAAAGCTTGCCACCACTGTCAAGCCAAATCAGGTCATTAGCTAACATGACAGTCAGTCCATGAACTTAAAGCCAAAGCTATGAACGTTTTCCTTAACAGTGCACACCTTTTCTTGACTGAAGGTGGACAAGGAGTCATTCGGCTTTCCTCAACGAAATTCCAACAATGCAGACTCTGCAGAATCGGTATGCTGCACAGTATGACGTTGCAGGAATTTCCAATGATCCAGTCTTAGAATTTCCAGAAGGATCACATATCACGAGAACAGCTGCTGCAGCAGTTACAAAGTGAGCTACCACACCGTAAACGGAACGTACGTGTACTAGTTTCACTTGAATGTCATGAGATAGTATTCACTTCAGAGGTCTGCACACCGTAGCTTTTCGCTCTCGTGTGCATGTTTGCTGATTATAAGGAACAATCGGTTACACCATATCAGGTTTTATGCAGCTGAGATAATGTTCAGAATCTGCGTTCAGAGTCGCATCTACTTTCTCTAATCGACGAAATTCTAGCTAGGGGGAGTACTAGTCGGCCGGTTGGTTGAAAGTTGGATGACGATCAATGAGGGCTGCAACCATGTATCAGCGTAACTTCGACCTGCATCCATTATCTAGAACTATCTGCATTGCCTCTTTGGAAAGAATTGGGTTGTGGCGTTATCTGTACAAATAAAGGTATTATTACATATTTTTTCATTATACATATGGTTTTAAGTTATAGGCGTTAATGGTTTTTTTGAAAGTAGGAACCAGTTCATTACAAATAAGCAAACTCATATAATCTCGATGCCTGAAGTGACAACATTTAGTGCATCCGTGCCCATAGCCATGCATTCTATGTCATGACACTCGAAAGCGGCTTCTATGGAAATGACAATCACATCAGAAATTGTCCTTCAACTGATTGCTAGGAGCTGTTACCAAAGCTTATATGCTCACCTCTCTAATCTACACGTATGCATACTTTAGAATGACAAATGAGCTGATGTGATTTATATGATTTGATCTATCTGGTCAGACTAACAATATCCATGGCAGGCGAAAAAGAGTATCTAATGTCGATCTTTGAATATCGTTCTCGACTGCATTCTCGCATTGAAATTTTTTCCACTACTGTTTCTCCGAAGCTTGTCCTTGTGATTATACGATACAAACTAACTAAGTTCCAGTCTCAGTATCTACCATAAGAGTAAACCATATTTAATTCGGTTGGGAATACTAGACATCTAAAATGGGTATTCGACTTTCATTGGAAGCGACAAGATGTGGAAACATATATGGGTCTCACAGTTATGGTTATCATGTAATGATATTAGTAGAAATGGCTACCTGGTTACCCTTCTGCAGAGGCGTGTGGTTGACATACATATCTGGCGCAGACCTTCCAAGTTATCTATTTCACTTACCTATATACATTTATATTAAGTTACAACAACGAGTGCTAAAGGCAGCGTTACAGTATGATGTTGCATTGACTGCCCCATCATTTGCAAAGGATGTATTTGCATTGATGCTTGTGGTACCCCACTTTTGGCAATTTTGAGGAAATTAAAACATTTTTGGAAAACTGTACCCTGGCAGCATTGTAAATAGCCTTCGGTACATCAAAACGGAGTGAATCCGGAAGATCGCGGGGATTCTCGAGGGATCTTGGAGTATCTAGGATTTGGGGTGCAGCAGTAAGGACAGGCACCACCCTCCCTGCGAGCTCTGCAGTTAGGATCCCTGCGACGCAAGGCGCAAAACCCGCCTTCGGAGGTTGCGTCCGCGGCGGTAGGGAAATCCTCCATAATTAGGTCAACCCTCGGGCGCCTTGACCGAGTTAGGGTCTCGTTGGAAAGAGCTCGACGCACTGATTCCAACGAGTCCAAGAACGCTTGGAACGGATGAGGACTTAGGGAGTTATCACTATTGGAAGATACGGAGACGGTCGCCTTCGGCGGAAGGAGTTCGCCACCGGCGGGAATTCCGCCTACGCGGAAGGGGAATCAAGTTTTGTCCTATGCGCGGACGAAGGACTTCGCCTGTGCACAGGCGAAGTAGGGTTTGGGGAGGCGCGAAGTCCGCCTACGCACAGGCGTTCGCCTGTGCACAGGCGCTTCGGCGTCGGCGGAAAATCCGCCTTGGGCCCTAGAAATGCGCCTTGTGAGGTAGAAAGTGTACGGCGCCTTCTGCGCCAGCGCGGCGCCGCGGACGAGCAAGGGGCCGCCAGAGGAATCAAATCCGTACGGACCATGCGGACGGGACGGGTGGATGCGCTCTTGGACGGACGGAGTGCGGCGGCGGAAGCGCCGACGAAGAGACAAGGAACGGACAGACTGGACGGAGACGGCTGACCACGGTCAACGCCTTCCGCGCCAACGCGACGCCGCGCACGGAATTCGCCTGCGCACAGGCGAGCGCCTGTGCACAGGAGGATGAAGTTCCGCGCCGGCGGAGAATCCGCCGAGGAGTCTGCCTGCGCACAGGCAGGAGTTGAACTTTTGTCCGACATGCGGACACACGCGTCGAGGCAGAAGGGGATTGGCCGAGGGGCGGTACGAACAAGTGTACCGCGCAAGGCGGAAAACTCGCCTTCGGCACTACGCTCCCATGTCCGCGGGGTAATACGCTCGCGGAGTTCAAATCCGCCAATTCGAGCGTGAGAGTTTAATCGGCGACGGCGGAGCGTGAAGCCGCGCGTGAGAGCGGAGACCGTTCCAGCGTAGAGCCGGCGCGGCCATCAAGTGAGACGTCCTCCACGAGCAAGAGCCGACCATGACCTTCGACCGGGCGGCGGAGAGCGTCCCATTCTTGAATTCGCGATTCCAATCTCTTGTGCGCGCTGCGCGCATCCATCTGCTGGCTGCTAAACATTCTCGACGTCGCCGCACAGGGGATTTCTTGGTGATTGAGGGAGAAGTGAGTGCGCGGGATTTGGAATTGAGGGCGATTAGAGTTTGCCGAGAGAGAAAGGAGCTCGGGCGTTGCGGAAGTAGAATGAGCGGTCGAGCGAACTCCAGGAACGCAATGACGAGACCGGGCAGATTGCGGATGGTGCCACTTCGCCTACCACAGAACGGGCTGCGCGCTTTCGAGGAGCGCTTAATAGCAAGAAAGCTCGATTTCTTGCTATGGGGATGGAACTACATCTGTGCGAATATGGTGCGCGAGTGGCTAGAGCCACAGGGACCACCCTCGCGCGGATTGCGTCCGCATGTTGATCGGTGGACAGTCCAAGATTGGGCGCAGGCATTGGGAAGATGTGCCGGCATGCCAGGGCATCTCCTTTTCGACAGTGAGAGCATCAAGGTGACCAAGCAGGAAGAGGCGCAATTTGTGGAGCTGTTCAAGACCGGGAGGTCTACCAAGAATGGGTACAGGACCCGTGATTACAAGGATCGATTTCGCCGGACTTTGTCCGCGGCGCTGATGCAATTACTGCAGCCACACCGCGCCTGCTACATCACATTGTGGCAGGTCTCTTTTGTGGAGTGCGTCATCGAGGGAACTCCAATTCACTGGGCGAGCATCCTGCACAGGGTGATGCGACAGCACGCTTTTGAGGAGAAAGGGGGAACTCTAAACCATCTCTCTCCTTTCCTCATCAATTTTTATCGACAGCGGAATTGTTTGACAGCGGCGGAGCTTGAGCATTTTCCGCCGTTGTCCGTCGACCATCCCGGGAAGTATGTGCGGGAGAATGAGGTCGACACTGATGCAGAGGAGTCACCGACTTCTACCCCATCAAGGCGGAGGGACGAAGGGAGAAACACTCCTGCAGCACGAGTGCCGCGGAAGCGGCGATGGAGAGAAGAGTCCGAAGAGGAGCAGCATCAAGAACCCTCTGCTCCCATTCGACCGCGGCCGTTGTACGAGTCATACAGCCGGCCGAAGCAGAAGGCACGCAGACTGGTGTTACCAGCCAACAGTGCGGACACGGCGACGATTGCGACGGAGAAAGGAAGTGCGTCGCCAGAGGAGCATGAGGAAGCGCGGACGACCGCAGGAGCAACGGACCACTCTGCAGCCTCGACGGGCGAGAGGCCGCATACGGCTCAAGGGCCTCCGGAGTTACCACGTGCGTTGCGGACAGATGTTCCGTTTGCGCACAGACGAGACTCCGCGGACGGACGAGCCTCCGCGGACAGGCGATCACAAGTGGACGTAGATCTACGCTTACGCGTGGGAAGGAGCAGTCCGCCTGTGCACAGGCGCTCGCCTGTGCACAGGTCACCTCCACACGTGCCGCCTGTGCACAGGCAGGAATCACCCCCGTTCCAACGTAGGAAGGGGAAGGAGCCGGCGGAAGAGCCGCCTACGAGACACCGGCCCTCGGGGCCAGACCCTCCGGCGCACCACGCGCCGCAATTTGCGCCTTCGGCGCCAGGGCCTTCGAGCCGCGGAGATACGAGCAGGGAGTGTACGGAGACCGCACCATCGGCGGGTAATCCGCCGGTAGATGCGCCTTCGGCGGTAGGGCCTCAGGGCCAAAGGACATCGGGCGAGCGGCCCCCGGCCATGTCGCCTTTGGCGGTGGACGTCCGCGGCACTACGCCTGCGGCGGACAAGGCGCCGGCATTTGCGCCTGCGCACAGGCCAAGCACAGCCCCCACGGACCGATCAAGGGAGCAGCAACAGACGGAGGAGCGGAGTGATTGTCCGCGGGATGAAATTTCGATGCGCGATGCGCAATCAAACCCCGCGCAGCCACCCTCCGCTCGATCGCCTTCGGCGGCGGGCGTCGGCGGCAGAGAGGACACGGTAGACGACCAACAAGCGAGCGGCGGGGATGCCGCACGGGCACATTCGCCTACCGCCTTAGACATTTTGGCGAAGAGCAGCGAGGCTGCAGCCGTTCCTTCGCAGGCAGCACACGTCGACGACGTGCAGCCCCACTCGGGTCAGTCGCCGACGCAATCAATGGCGACTGAAATTCTCCACTCGGATGATGACGACGGAGGCTCCACCGAAGAAATGTCAGGAGCAGAGGACACCGAGGAGGAGGAGGAGGAAATTGTTGGAGCGCCGGCGGCGGCGCTCTCTGAGCAGGTGATTCCGTTGCTGAGGTACTTGGATCGCAAAGTCGATAAATACGCCGACCCACTTCAGCCGGGATCTTACATCGAGTTAGTGCGCAGGCGGACTCGCACTAAAGTCCACACCAGCAAGCTATTAGCTAGAGTGGACCAGGAGTTGAGGGAATTGAAGGAGAAGCATGCATGCTTGTGGGGTCAGTATAAACTTAATCAGAAATTCTACAAGTACTCCGAGAAGGTGAGGGATGAGAAACTGGACGAGCTCACCAAGGAGCAGGTGAAGGTCAAGGAAGCACTAATTTCTGAGCAGGCCCAGAATCGGATTTTGTCAGAGGAGCTCGTGCGACAGACGCGGTTGTTGGAATAATGTCAGCTCGCACGGCAGGCGGATGAGGAGTTAATCCGCGGGTTACAGTCAGAGTGTGGCGAATTGAGAGCGCAACGTGCTGAGGCCGAATCGCAATTAGTGATAATTGAAGAGGATCGCAGGAAGGAGGCAGATCGCACGAAGGTGGAGACGGCGAGGCGTGTCGCCCACTGTCTCAAGGGCTACGCCCACTGGGAAGTGAAGGCGCAGGAGAAACTCACACTGCGTGAGTTTGAACTTCGCGCAGCCGGGTTGTTGTCAGGCGACAGTAGGAGTCGGCGGAAGGTAGCAAAGAAGCTCGATGCTTTTCTGTCGAGGGCGCAGGATACTATGTCCGCCCTCGAAGTGGAGGTGTCCGCGGCGTTGCAACGATTGGGACTGCGCAGTCGAGCGGAAGATTGGCAGGGTAGGGAGTTAGTGCGCGGCAGTCCGCCGCGCAGGAGACGTAGCACAGGTTCCGCGGAGTGTAGTGTAGCGTGGTTCCGCGCAGGCGTGTAGCGTAGTGCAGTGTAGTGCTAGGTAGGACTTAGAAGGTATAAAATAGTTCCAGGCGTTTTGCCTGGGGTTCTTTCCCATCAGAAGTGCAGATCAGGAACCCATTTCCTTTGCGTGTTTGTGTCCTTGAGTTCTGTCACCACGCACGAGGAGTTACAACTTAGCGTTCCGCATTTTGTAGCTGAAGGCCTCCGGCCGAATGTTCAGAGCTAGTCCATTGGTTAGAGACTTGAGTAGTTCGGATCTGCACCTGCGGGTGACTGCCGATGCTCAGAGCCAGTGACTAGTTAGATACTTGAACAGTTTCGCCCCTACACCTTCGAGTGTTTCTTTCTGATTGTACTCCCTTGGGATTTTTCCCCTGAATGCCAAAGTGAAGTTTTGCTACTTCGTGTAAGCCTTGGTTGTAAATTCAGGTTACGCTGCAGCAGGTGCCTTGAGGGTAACCCCTGTAGTAGTTCTGGGAATGACAAGTGCCTGAGAATTCAAACTCTTCAATAGACTGTTGTTGTGTTACTGGAATGTTTCTCAGTGAGTCCTTCAGTGCGGACCTGTGTTCTCTGCGCGTTTTGTGAGTTGAGAGTGTTGTTCACCGCGTATGAGTGACTTCGATCCGAAGTAGGCAGTCCAAACCGGGTTTCCTACACTAGCAGCAAGCTAGTGGAAGTGTTGTAAAAGCCGGAGTTGGAAGTCACTACCCGCAGCTTCGCCGAGTGTGCTCGCGAGAGACTTTCCCCCCTGAAATCCTGAAGTAGAGGTCCTAACGGATCTCTGGGTTGTGTTTCTGTAGTTTCAGGTGTGTGTGTGTGTGTGTTACGCTGCACTGTGCGACCTCCGAGTGCGCTCCGAGTGGACACTTGCAGTATTTCTGGGAGTGACAGTTGCCTGAGAATTCAAACTCCTCAATAGTTGTTAAAACGTGACACTTGGTACCCTGTGTGTTCCTCTGTCCCTGTGGGTTCGACCTTTCTACCACTATATTGCAGTTTTAGCCTTTAGTGGGTTATTACAATGCTCCTTTGGAAAATGAGTTCAGAAGGCCCAAATGCAACAACACCGGTGCAAACTTTTCCTGTTACAAACTCCATGAAAACTTCAACCTTTTCATCACCCAGCTCCCTCTGTTATAATCCGATAATCATATGTCCTTCCAACTTGGATCAATTCCAAGTAATATTGCAGAATCAGAGTACACTCGTCGAATGAAACATACATGTTTTGAACTTCAAATACTTGACTCAAACTTAGAAAGTGCATCACTGAGTATGATTAGCTGCTGACGAAGTACATTCATAGCAGTGCGACGAGAGCAAAGAAGTAAAGACTCCAGGCATAATTTGGTTATTGATCCAGGGGACCACGAATAGCAAGGTTCAAAACATCAGACCAATACTGGTCAGGAGCAACAATATCTTCTATAGACTATGTTATGGTATACAACCAACTTTCTAGAGTCAGAGTCTGCAGGACTAGTGAACTGAACCATGGCCTTGCAGGCCGACTGCTAGGCCATGGTTAGGGGATACTAAAAACCTCCGTAAAGTATGTAAGCAAATGGTATGATAGCTGGATAATCGCAACGGATATTTCTACAAAATTTCATCGATCATCTTAAACCCTGCATTGCACATTTGGGGGCACGAGTGAAAGTTACTCGTCAGCTTCTCTAAGGTGCCTTCAAATTCTTCGCTTCGTAACATTCAGCACCTTATCTCGACCCTCAAACGTCAAAATTGGCCATGGGATGTCAACGACAGTCCCGGCCGCCATGCAGTCGAACACAACTTACTCTTCTCTCTCCATCTCTGCTGGTAGGTAGGGTCATCCGATGCTTGTCAAATGCACCCATCAACTTTCGATTTTGTCAAGCTTTTGGCCATAGTCATCAGGCTGCAGATAGAAAGCCATGTGGTACTAATTTAATATTGTACACCCACCTTGTATTACATGGAAGATATTTCGGACGATGAATCCGAGGTTCTTCTGTTGTAGCATCAGTGGGGCTGAAGCTATAACACCGAGTTTTCATGATGAGATAAAAAAACACATTACTACTGGGGAATAAGAACACACGATTACCAAAACTACATTTTGAACTGCATTGCTGGCAAACTCCCCCTTCTCATCAGTATTCGATCAGGACCAGAACAATCTGCGATATCTGGCTCGCTGCTTATGCCGTCCAAATGGAATTGGGACATGTATCCGTTCAGTTTCTTCCCTTTAGCAGGGGGCTCGTTCAGGAAAGCCCAGCGGCTTTTTGTCCACCTGATATGAAAGGAAGTCACACCAACCTGTCAGAACTCTGGTACAAATCCATTTGATTCAACATGCTTGACGTGAGCACTTGGAGCTAAGCAGAGGTTGAGAGAATTGGGTTGGGTTGGGTTGGGTTGGAACTGGGGTACTATCCACAATCTTCATAAGCACCCCAAATCTTTAAAACTCAGCACATGTTTATCAGAATCGAACAACTTTTACCAGTCGATCGATAAATCCTTCGGAATGACCGATTTGGGTGTTGTAGGTGGAAAGTCTGCATCCGACGAATATCCGCTTTCGGAGCTAGTGTGCCCTTGCCCACTTTCTGACTCGGCATCTTCCGCAATCTGCAGCAAACAACAATTCTTCATTTGATCGGGGATTGGAAGACAAACTCAGACCGTTTTGAGGCAATTATGCCGAAAGCTGAAGCCATAACACACAATACTGCGAGGAGGAGAGACAGAAATAGAGAGCCATGAGTCTTAATTCTCAGGGTGTGAAAAATGGTCTTACACTGATGGATCGTCGCAAGTATGCATCTTTGCGCGCTTGCTGCAGATGGCTCCTGACCGAAACCTCCTTGCTTCGCCAAAAGTTTTCAATATCGGCTTTGGTCACCGTTTTTTTGACCCGCTTCACCTCTGCGCACGCCAAATGGCAAATGAAAATCAGTCCAATGGAGATCCAATGGAGATTGAAGTCCTGTTGGAGACTATCAGCCAGTCGATGCAAGTCCACGGAAGCCACTGAATTGAGGGTGTGACCATTCACAGATGCAGACCTTCCTTAGCATCAGAGGGCTGAGTTTGCCATCCAGCCATCAGAGAACCCATTCTGATGAGCTCGGGACTGAAACTCGAATGGATCAACGCTAATTAAACTCAACCTCACTGTGAGGATCGCTCCTGTGCCCGCCTGAATCAGGTGCGAACTGATGATTTTTTTCTTTATGTCACCGAGAAGTGGATTTTTCTCGTCAACGCGTTAAGGACTCGTCTTCTATTGTCTTCTGATCCCTGCACTTGTCCTATCCAGCAGGCTTCAGCTTTCGAATGTTTCAGGTTTTGAAGCTGGGTGCCCTTCTGCTGGCAACTTCTGGCTCTTATAGCTGTGCTGATTGAGACCAATCCATCTCATTATCTAGAGATATCACGGAGAAGTAAGCGCCGCAGATGCACACGCCAGTGCATCTGCTCGGTGGCCAAATTTAGGCTGCCACTGATGGCCATAGCTGTTTACACTGCGAGCCTGTAGAAGAGATTTGCTACTCTTTAGGGCCGTCTTTGAGACTCCTCTGCCCTTCCCTGCCCTGCCTGGCCCTTCCAACATACAGAACAATCTTCTTCTATCGTTGCCTTGCCTTCTCATTCGGGGTTCAAATCTGAGCAGATTAGGATGAGAAGAATCAGAATCATATATCTGATGACTATGTCTCGGACTTCGAATCTGAGAGTCATTGTCTATTTACGTCAGCTGTTTACGTGCATGACCTTCTAGTTCCGAGCTACTCGACATGGTGAAAGTATCGCATAATTATTTGACTTTTCCAGCCTAGTACGTGACCAGTGATAACTTCTTGACCTTTCAGTAACAATAATCTGAAGAGCCATGAATCTACATCTGGTTCTCTTTCATGTCAGGTCAGAGAAGCAAACTGATTGTACCGGACAAAAGCTTGACAAAAGTCAGTCACTGTTGTAAGAGACATTCACAGTAGTCATCGTTGGTTGCTAATTTTGATCATCACCTTGGCTGTGCATAACTCGAGGTCTTATTTATCACGACGATATATATCACGAAGAGGACGGAATCGAGTCTTGACACGAGTACAGGGTGATTTGGTAATCAGATTACAGACCCAGCACTGATGGCCCTCGTCCTGGGCCAAACTAGCCATGATGCTGTACCGTTTTGCAGCTCTTCGTGTGAGATCGGACATAGTGCACACCTGCCATGCTCGTAGCATCATGAACGTGTCCATCGTCGTCTCCAGTACCGGGACTGGAAGTGCTTGCCAAAACTATTCACTTATACAAACTTCCTTCCGATCAATTCTCCATGTCCAGTTCTCGCGACGCAGCCACAAACATTTGATGCATTGAAAGAAGCTTTTAAATAATCCTCAGGGGCCTTCGATTTACTTGACGAAGTCGCAACACCATGCCCCGAGGAAGGTGGAGTGTAATGTTATAATTTCCAGCAGCCTCGGCAACTGAAGTAAGAGCATTCGACCGCATAAATGTTGTAACAGGAAGAGTGTTGACAATCTCAATTCGCTTCTGTGTCTGTACTCATGAGCAGGGAAAGCATCGACCAACTCATTACCTTCCCCTGTAGACGGCAGATCGTACAGAACTCAAACAAGAGCATCCGACATGGTTCTCAAGGATTGTTGAACTGGGAAGATGGACTTCTGCAATCCTTGTAGTGAAAAAGACGGAACATGGAAGAAATGGAAGGTACGTATATCAATCAAATGTGGAAGAACTCGAGATTTCACTTTTGATCGCAAATGGTAGAACTTAAAAGTTACATATTGGTGAAATAATAATAATATGTGAAAAAACTCCAGATTTCACGTCTGATTGCAAGTGGGAGAACATGAGAATTACAGTTAATGCTAATGACATGTGCAAAAAGATCGGGATAAAATAATATAAGAGACTGTATCATAGGTTATGAAAGCGACAGTCGATTGAAATCGCTGAATTAGACTGCAGCCATGGCAAGCACATATTGACAAAGCAAACTATCCCAAAAATCAACCAAGAGATGTCATGCTTATCAATAAGACAAATGAAGTGTTCCAATCCAACAGTACTTCACTTCCACTGTTTTATTAGAAATTCCTAATGCTGTAAATGGGCAAAATTGCTAAGCAAAGGAACCTCCGATCACACGGGCAATACCAGATTATTCAGCATGAGATGCGTTCATGATCTTGAAACTCACCCACGTGGATTTCACGAGATCTGTAGTTTTTGCATGGGCCTTCATTAACTCTTCCAATGTCCAATCAGGAAGCTGGTGGACATGAATGCCTAAGGCGATGGGAACGACCGAAAGGGCAGAAGACGCACAAAACAGGTTTCCAAATAATTTGTAAGCCTATTTCCAGCTTGGATATCAAACTAAGTTCATTCGTCTTCAGCTTCGGGAAGATCATTTGTTACCTTCTGTACCCAAAATCCAATGGATGTGACCCTTGACATTGTTCGGAGCCAAAGTCATCCAACCACGATAGAATTTTCTTGATATCAAGGTATGAGCAGCTTTCACATCTGGAATTGACCACTTTAGTTTCTGAACATCTTGCATCTTGTTTCTGAACCATGCAGTTTCTGAACATCTTGCCAAAAGGAAGAATTCAAACACCACACATATTTGAGATTAGTTCTGCATCTGATCGCTTCTAGTTCATGATCCACATAATATATATACATATATATATTGCTAATATATCTGGACTTACCCACGTATGTTTCTCGATTATGAAATCTCGAATATTATTAATATTATTATTATATATAATCCAAATCTTCATATACCCAATACAGTTCAGAGTTAATTTCCCTAGAGAGCAGTTATCCTAGTCATGATCCCCAGATCGAATCAAGTGCTTGTCCCTACGGCAGTCAGAATCAACGTGCATTTGTACACTCCGATAGTGAAGAATAACGATGGCTCCAAAAGAAAAGACATGGCTGAATAAACCGAAAAGATAATTATGTGAAAGAAAAATGTGTATGTACCCGAAATTTCAGTACCCAAGTAGAAAAATTGCATAATGGAAACGTTAAATTCCGGAACTATGATGCAATTACCTTCGGTCGTATATAGTATCAAGTCCGCGAAGTTAGTCATATATATCATACATTCAAATCATATCACATATTATTACTTTCACAAATGTTAAAGTGAAGTGAAAGATTTGAATAGGACTGCCCACAATGCAGTTTCTAAAAAACAACAATACCAACACTTTTTCTTGTGAGCGAGTTGAGGAAATATATTTTCCGTGCCGTCGTTGCAAAGCACGAAAGCACCTTCCGAGAGCACCACGTTCCTGTTGCAGCCAACGTCGTAACCTTTGTATGCAGTTATAGAGAGCACATGGTTACTGCGGTGGGAAGGGATGCTACTCGGTAGATTAACGCCAGGGGGCCATTAATGATAAGCAAGGGACAACGGAAGAGCGCAACACAGAGGGACGAAACCGTTCGTTAGGAGCAGCCGAGTTGCAGGCTTCAGCTGACGAGAGAAGCATTCAGCAGAACCTCGAGCCCCCGTTCCAGCTCGAGTGTCGTCAGGCCTCGAGGTCGAGGCTGGATCCAGGCTCTGCCAATGCACTGACATTGGCATGGCCTGCTCGCATTTCAGCTTTGCTCAGGAAGCTCGCAGAACCTCCGGTCTCGAGAAACTCCGAGGCTCGGAGGGTTTGTTGTGGCGATTTGCGTGGATGCGATTGGGGATGGAGAGTTTTGGTTTTGGGATCTGCACCGACAGTTATGATGAGGAGATGTCAAACTTTTCGACCGTCTCTTGTCGAAATGTCTTTCCTCTTTCGTGAATTTCCGTCGACTCTCTTCGTTTGAAATCGGGCGTCGGCAGACTTTTGGAGAGAGTGGAGATTTTTTTTCTCTGATTCTGATTCCGATTTGTCGGTCTACGCCCAGCTTGTTTGCTCTTGGGGATTCACGGATTCCCATTGCCTTCTCGTCCACAAACTTGGCCTTGTTGCTTTCGTCTCTGATTTCTCGATCTGTGGATCCCGGTCGGCGTTTACTGCGATTTCGCCGTCATCCGTTTTCGACGACAGGAAGATGTGGATCCAGGCAACATTCTTCTTTTGTTTCACGTTGCTTTTCGTGTGGGTGGTGGGAGTGCTGTAGTTGGATGTTGTCTGGAGCCAATTACGGAAGCTCGAGGGATCTTCATCAGAAAGAACCGTCGATTGAGCGGTGGCTAGACCTTTGATGAAGGCGATATCGTGGATCGTTGCCGTAGTTGCGAAGTGGTGGCCTTGGGATTCGAGCTTTGCAAGGGTTGAGGGTTGAGGATTCACGATGGTAGGTTTAGACACAGGTGTGGTGTATCCTCCGCCGAAGCCTCCTTCTTGTAAGGGCGGCGTCTCCAATGAACATTCAGGCTGCGCCGGAAGTGCTCATGGCGTCTCAACGCGAACCACGTACAAGACGGTCTTTCTCTTGCTCTGCCTCCAAATTCCTGTTTCCCCTCTCAATTTGTCGACTTCTCCTTGCAGCTTGACATTTCATAAGGGCCGGCCGTTTCGAGAATTCTTCAAGTCGGATGAGTTCAGTATCCCTCCCCGATTCTGTTCGCTGCCACCCCTCTCATGTCCATTCCACTCACGGAATGCATTGTTGTACAAGTGCCACCCTTGAGATGGCACTTGTACAGGGCAGCTCCAAAGCACTGAGCCGGAGACTTTCAACAGACCTAAATAATTCTAACTTCGAATTTCTAACACTGTCGTGTCCTGATTTCGATCATACCCGAAGCTTGTAAGGTTGATGTTGGCACAATTTCTTTCACGGGTTGTTTGCTCTCTTCTCTTACGATTTCTAGTCTCTACTCTCTGTCTGTCTTGTTCTGTAATATATGTCCCAGAAACTGACACCCTCCATGACCTTTCTAGACTGCTTGCTCCTCTACATAAGCTGTTCTAGACCAGACTTCACTCTGTGTGAAAGAGTAGAGTTTGTCCCGGGACTTTCAAGCTCTGGCAGCAATCGTAACATCTAAATGATTTCTCAGTAGCGTCTACCGATTTTTTAAACTATCGAGAAGAGGGCAAAACTGCAGATTAGATGGCGTGCATGGACACGGAAGAAGCACCCATAACACCCACGGAAGTAATAATGTTTAGGTAGAACAGGAACGCACACTCACTGATGGACGTCCTTACTAAAGGTTGTAACATACAAGACAGAAGTCACTGGGCTTATTAATGCAGCCAACATTTTACCTTCAATACAAAAAAAAACACAGAGACAGACATCGAAAACACAATCATAATCATATTGGGCAGCATGAATTTGTGGGAGGTCGACCCCTGTCAGATCAACACGTGTACTGCACAACAGGTTGCCAAAACAAGTGAAGTCGATGATCAATTGTTCGCTGCCAAGGGGCAACAATTTCACAACGAGCACATGGAGAACATCCAGTATCTGCAGGGCCTACAGAAGCACAACAAGCCTTGGTTGTCTCCACCTGAGGTACACCATACTGCATCTACGTACGTTCAGAAACGATGGCAACGTGAGAGCCGCATGTCCTGACATTCAGAGAAGATCGCGGCGTTCGGATAGCATCTTCTGACTCATGAAGTACCTTGTCCGTGACATGTTTGTTCTCGAACCTAGTCATTCACTCTTCTACATTAAGTGCCGGTTCTTTGAAGAGAGTCCGTTTCGCATCAACTAGATGACTATTTTGCATCGGATAAAGAATCTCACACCTTGTCATTCTTACCTCACCAGCCTCCGCTCAGCCGAAAGGATTTCGTGCCTAATGCTGAGAAATGGAAGAAGCATCAATCAAAGACATCCGCTTACACTCCGGAGGACTCAGACACTGTCATAATCACCAAAGATGACATGGAGAAAATCAAGGCGAGTGCTGCTCGTGAAACCATCCCTATATCACTTGGCTTGAAATTCTTACAGAAGTCAATTTTCCAGACAGAAGATTGTTGAAATTATGATGCAAGAGTTGGTTAACCTTGGTTCATTGAACAATGGCTTCTATGACCTCTGCTTGACACTCATGACCTTATAAATCACAGGAGAGGTCAGTCATACTGACCGAGGAACAAAGGCTTGCTTTGAAGAAGCATAAGGAGGCAGAGAGAGATAGAATTCACGCTGTAGCCAATCAGAGGAAGCAAATGATGTTGAAGGCAAGTCATCCCCGTTCCTGTGACAGCGATATTCTTGGGATGCTCGTTCAATTTTCTGCTCGTAACGTGATTTACAGTTCTCTCTGGTCCATTTCACTCATCAATCTCAAAGGCCAACGTTGAGAATTCCATCGACCCAGCTTGGAACATTGTACAGTAGAGCTCGTCTTTAGATATGGACAACACGAAAGAGGCTGCTCTATAGTTAGAACAGTGTGGAAATGATGTGAGAATTTGGCTGTGTGATGTGCAGATGGAAGCTGAACGGAGGAAGAAAAGTGGCAGATTGACTGATGCCGAGATTCTTCGAATGCAGAACGAGGACAGGTCCTATTCCCAATGCCAACTTGGGGTTGTGACTCGTGTAGGCGCGGTGCAGTCATTACTGCATCTTCAAGTGTTCGATTAGGTGCAATGGTAGCACCAATTGCAGCGATTTATGGCTCACCAACCATTCTCAACTAGTGGGGTTGCGCAGGACAAAAGCTGAGGCCCTCAGACAGATGGAGGAAAATCTGGATGATGCGAAGTTGATGAATCGCATGATGAACTATGCCAGATGTGTCACGATTCGTGATGGACAACTCCATGAAAAGGTCCTACATTCTCATTCTCTAACACCAGTCGTGCTGATGTAAAAGCCACATGTCTGTGAAAGGTTACCTGCTTCTCAGTGATCTTGGGTGCTAAGCAACACACAAGGTCTTATGAGTTTCCTCAACCTGAGATCTTCACCAGTAGATCTTACGTTATGCTCGGTCCACCGATGTTTGGATGCCTTGCAAGCTGAGAGCTTGCCACCAAGATAAGTGCTAAGATCAGCCGAAGTGGATTTCCCTTCTATGTGCAAGTTATAATGGCAACCGAGACCTTCATTAACTGCACTCTTGGCCTTTCGAGATAGAAGGTAAACTGGGCACATTTCGCTTGCCAGGGAGACAAGGAGAGATGGGAAGAGCAGGACAAGATGAGATGGCATCACATCATGGAGATGTCGAGGGTGCAAAAGATCAAGGAGCATGACACGGCTGAGGCCAGGAAGAAGTATTTTCGATATGAAGGAGCCGCAGTCATTCGCAAGCAGATGGCAGTAAGTTTCTACGCAAAAATTAATTTCTAAACTTTTAGTAATATGGGACGACAGAGTGTCCACGGCTTTGAGCCTTTCGACAGCACAATGTTTTCAATCACCGCGAATCTGAAACTGTACCCAAATGTAAACATTGGATGCATTTCACTACACGCTGGACTCCAGCAGTTCGTAAGCAGGATGCGTGTATCGCTGAAGCAATTATGGATTGTAGGAAAACGAATCGATGCGGAAAATAAATGAGGAAATTAAAGAGCAAGAAGGGAGGAAAATCAGACGCGAGTCTGAGCGTATGCTCAAAGAGGATCAAGACATAGCAGAAGCAAAGCGTATTGCAGGAAGAAAACTCCTCATAGAAATTCTGAAGGCGAATGACGATGCTCAAGAAGCGAGAATCAAGGCCAAAGAGTTTGAGAAGGAAGAAGAAGCAAGGCGTCAGGTCTATGTCCACGAGAAGGAGAAACGAGATTTGGCGTACCAAGAAGCTCAGGACAAAATAAAGAAGGAGAGGGAGATGGAGACTGCAAGGCAAGCTGAACTACAACTTGACTTAAGTGTAGTGTCATTATGCTACTTCATGCATTGTTCAGGTCTTCAGCACTCAAATCCAACCGTCAAAACCAATGCCATGTAGAGATCCCTTATTAGATCTTAAACGCATCTGGAATTCAACCTGCGAAATATGTTCCTCTTGCTTGGACCAGGCTTCGAGCATTGCAAGAGAGGGCACAGGACAAACAGGCTGTGATAGATGGAGTTCGAGCACTGAGGGTCCAGGAAGAGCACGAACGAGAATGGAGGGAGAAAGAGCGAGCTGAAGCAGAAAAGATCAGACTCATGTACGAAGATCTAGCGAGAGCCCGTGAAGAGCAGAAGATCTACAAACTGAAACTGCTTGCAGATCAGGCCCAGGAGGAGCAGATAGCCTACTACCGAATTGCCCAAAGCCAGAAAGCAGCTTTGATAGAGGCCAGAAGGCAAGCTGAGGCTGCTCACGAGGCAAATATAAAGAATAAAGAGGCGGTCATCAAACAAATCGAACAGAATGCAGAGAAGCGCGCTCGAGCATTCAGAGAGAAGTTTGAAGAAGGTGAGAGGTTGAGGCAGCAGATCAGAGTTGAGAAGCTCCGATTGGAGGACATCAAAGAGCGCAAGTTGAAAGTACTGGCGAAAGAAGGGGTGCCTCCCAAATACCAAGTCGAGCTTGCCAAACACAAAATTGTCATCCACTAGTTTTCTATCCGCGATTTCCACCTCTCCGCCAGAACGTTCAGAACGAAGCTCGTTGATGATCCGTAAATATTTATTCGTCCGTTATTCCTTCACGATCCAAACCTTCGTGCAAGGTGATGAGTTGGGTAAGATAAGTACTGCAGTGCTCTCTCTCGTGCTTTTGATCATGCGCAACGGGAAACATTTTAACGGAAGCTAGGCAGGACACATATGGTTGTTGTTGGAGGCACACTTGAGTAGGATACCCTCTGGCAAACCTGTAGGCTTGACTCACTGGAAGTTCCCATGTTTCCTTCCTCCTCCTATCGTATCATGATATGGGAGGACTGTTATTCTACAGGGCAATGGAGATGGAGATTTTCTCAAGCTTTCAAAACATGTTTTGTCCCACTGTCTGAAATCTGATTGCAAGGATCATATCGTGTGACGTCAGTATTGCACATCTACTATGATCTGCAACTTGTGCTGACTACAGTTCCTCGGATTTGGACGATACAAAAGGCTCAGGACGTCACAAAGCGTCTTTTGCACAATTCTCTGCAAATCTGCTCTCGATGCATTTGCATCAAATGCGGAGTACGTGCCGACAGTTCTCGTTTGACTGAGCCAACTGCGCATGATGAAAGCTTACGATTTTGTAGAACGTGAGAGCAGGACATAACAGAGGCATGGCAACGGCCCCAGAGAGTCCCACAGCAGACGAATGGACGGACGATCAGATGGAAGGAAGAGGTTCGTGCCCGGGAGGCCCCAATGGACGACAGCTTCCATCTCGGTGTCAGTGTGTAGTCGACCACGTTCACCAATTTGTCATCAAATTGCCAAATTGCCAAATTGCCAAAACCAAATTGTCACCAAATTGCGCATCAACGAAGAAATGCTCCAACACTCGATGAGAGCAATCGCGCTGTCCTTGGCCACACCGAGATTCTCCAAAGTGGCCTTGCAAATCTCGTCCAGACAGCAGTAGAATGCTGGCTTGACTTCACGTCTCCATTTACCAGCAGGTTGACCCATGAGCACAGAATAGGACTCTTCAAATTGTAACTGTACCACTAAGAACTTGCGTTCCCTAAGTGCAGGTTGGCCTATCGGGTTGCATTTTGACGATCAATCCCATGATTTATGAAGACACCGCATCACTGAAACAACAGAGAGATTTGCAAATAGGAAATGTACATCTACTTTCATAAGTCTTGTTTAAATTAAACACGGCAATGAATTCTTCCGTAATATGATTGAGAATCCAACAGCACTGAACTCTTGGTGAGCCCTTGATCCATTTGCATGACAAGGCATAGCTCGTAACTCCATCATCACGAGCAGCTTGTCCAGTTGCAGTAGAAGTAGAATGTTTAATCCCATCATCAACATTTCTGATGATATACTGTAACCACTAGAAGCAATCAACGCATCCAGTTTGCTTCCTCAAAGTGCGACGGTGGGACGTAACATATGGGATGCTGACATCCTTAACGTGTAGATGTTCTCGGTTGAGAAAACATAACAAGAGATTCGTCCTCCCATCATTGCGACGGATGCTCTGTGTCACACTTTGTTAATGTTTTAGCGTTTACTTGCTTTGATTCCAAGTACATCAACCTTGTTTTGCATCTTCATCTCTGTCTTTAGTACGAACTCTAGTATTCAATGACGAGAAATTCGATGTCTGGAAACTATGTGAAAGATGTTTAGTAGATATGTTGTAGATGTGTTCATCGTCCCATATGCAATTTACAACATCATCATCAAAAAATATGCAGCTACTTGATTATATAAAGACCTTTGTTCGATTAGAGACATATTTGCTATCTTTTGCTCCATCTGTTTCACCAGAAATTTGTCTCATGACTACTCTCATGCAAAACACTTGAATTGAGTCTATTCTTTTATCATCATTTGTGTTTCATGGGTTAATTTTGTGGACTATAGCCATATTTGTACTCAAGCTATCAATTGAAAGAAATGGAGCAGACTATAGCCATACTATGCTCCATTTCTTTCAATTGATAGCTTGAGTACATGTGACTAGTCATGAGTCAACCTCTACCATCACTCCTTCTTTTCACCTAACGATTATGATGTCAACATTTTTTTCTGTAAGTTTGAATGTAGATTAAAACATATTATCATGTTTATGACCATTCTTGCATCATTTTGATGTATTTGGGTGAAATTGGATCTTAAGGTAGATAATTTTTTGTTATTTGTTCACCACATGTCCAACGATAACACTTTATTGATTTTTACACTCAAAAGAGATGGCAATGTTCTTCATTTATATCTTTTATCATTAGTTTCAGATGATCAGAAATTATGCTTTGTGTTTATCATAACCACTCTAGCCTTATTTTGTAGATTGATAATGCACAAGAGTAGATAAAACTTGATGTATCCTTGTTGATCTTTGTAATCATCACTCTTTCCTCTGCATGTTGGGCTCAATACTTGTAATAAAAAAACAAAGTGGTAAACATGATGTCATCTTTACTCTACACATTATCTCCCTATTCAATATCTCTTCTCAACATTGCACATGTTTTGTTTTAATCATGAACAATACTATACTATGTAAGAAACTTATCTAGTTATTATACAATATCAAATATCAATATTCTACTACCAGTGTTTCAGTCATATAATGAATAACTTCAATAAATATTTCTATTCAAATATGTCTTACAAAGTCTACTTCTGGTCTTTTGTTGAACCAATTCATGACTCTAAAGCTCCATTAATGTATCCATTCAAATATGTCTTACAAAGTATACTTCTGGTCTTTTGTTGAACTAATTCAAGACTTTAACGCTACATTAATATACTATCTTTCTCTTCACATAACGATTCTATTCAAACTGAAGATCACATTTGTAACATGTTACAAATGTACACATGTTACCTATTTGTATATATATATACAAATATTCAATATTGTTCATTACATAACTGTATATGTGTTTGATAGAGTACCTTATATTGAAAACGAATGTGTTTCTTAACTTATCCAGATTTCTAAGTTTGTAGCATCAAATTTTGGCTGATCACACCAGTCCTGGAGTGTGCCTACCTAAAGAGATACACCTCGTAAGAATTCAGCACGTGTACATCTTCGGTCAAGTGACGAAAATATAAATGTGATACAATTTATTATTTTAAATCCAGGATCGGCCACCCACTTAGTAGCGCAAAGGTAACCATCAGATGAATTGGAGCCTACTGTAGTGGGAATGGGAAGAGGGACAAGACAGGAGAGGGATTGAGACTCATAAGGGGCTAGATTTAACTCGTGGGGGTTTAATGAGGTAAGGCTAGAGAGCGAAGGTTGTCAAAAGAGATGGAAAGAACATTTTGTCGGAGAGCAAAGTTCCTCAAACCTTGCCCTAAAACACCGATCCCTGACCTTCTGGGACAGATGTGCAAACCCCTAAACCCCGAGCTCCCCTCCCCGCCTCAGGGATCTACTCGATCTGTCGTGCAGATGTGAATCGCAACTCGTTGACAGGAGGATCTCTGCGTTGGCCCATTGTGGTGTTTGCGCCTCATTGCAGGGGAGGCGACAGCGCTGTAGACATGGAAGAGAACGGCAAGATGTCGGAGGCTGATGTCCAGGAAACGCAGGTCCAAGTGCGGTTTACCACGAAGCTCAGGGACGAATTTCGCGTCGTGAGCACTCCGTTTGCCGTCCCTTCGAGCTTGACTCGTTATGGACTGTCTGAGGTCATCAACGCTCTCCTTGGTCGTGGTACGTATGAAGAGCTCTGAAGATTGATGTGTCACAGGTTGGCTCGGAAGCAGTCGTGACTTCTGTAATGGTCAAATTTGCTGCAGAGTACTTTTTTCACAAGAAAAAGTCCGTTGAGAATTGTGTCACGCTACTCGCTCACCCTTTCCGGGTTGGCAACGATGAATGTCGGATACGACGATTAGTTATATCTACGATTTTTAGGTTTTTACTGGATGTTCGCAAAACGGTATTAGGGGTTTTGGTAAATACTAACGTAATGCAGTCTGTTTGGTGAATGCCTTCAGATAAACCAATCCCATTCGACTTTCTGTTGGATGATGAGCTGATAAGGACTTCGTTGGAGGATCTGCTTCTAGCCAAAAACCTGTCTGCGGTAAGTTTATCTATAAAGTTACTATCATATGATCTCTTGCTATTCACTTCTCTATTTCACATGTCCTTTGTGATGAAAATAGCCTTCATTCAACGATTCCGTATCTGGTTTTTGCAGGAATCTATCCTCAATATTGAGTACATTCCAGCCGTTGTGCCCCCAATCCCCAAGGAAAGTCAGCTTCATGATGATTGGGTTAGCGCTGTGGACGCTTCTTTGGCCAGGTTTCGCTTCCCAACCAAACTTGAAATTGATAGGATGTCTTTGACCATTTCATTGTTTAGAAACTAGTGGAGGTATACAGGGTGAAGGTCCAAGTCTTAGCAAAAGTTTGGTTTGCCTCCTGGATACTGTTCTTGGCTCAGTCTCGATGACCATTGTGTTGTGCTCTTCTCTTTACACACTGTAGGATGAGATTGTAACGTGTTTGAGTGTCGAAGGTTGTTAAAGCGGCCTTGTTTCTAAGAGGTTTCACAATTTCACTATGTTCTGTATATCTGAGACCTAGAGACTTTTCTCATTCATTCTAATTACCTTGACTCTTTTCATTGCAGTTACATCGTTACTGGTTCATACGACACTTTTGCCAGGTGAATTTACATCTCGCGACTGTGTATTCTAATTATTTACTGAGGATATACATACATTCATTGCGCAGATAAGATACCTTTATCCGTTGTTAAGATAACCATGCCAGTGAGTACGAATTATCAGGATGCACCTGCTCAGCAGTTAGGCCAACACTGTCAGCCGAGGTAGCCTGCTTTTTTAATGGGGTTAAGCCATGATCGTCTGAAGAGTAGTTCACATGCATTACTGAGGTTGACTTGGAGCGCCTGGGAATGATACAATCTTACGAATCTTCTTGTACACCAGATTGTGGAGTGTAGCTGGAACTTGCGTAGGCGTGTTGGAAGGACACACCGATGCTATCACATCCGTTTCTGTCATTCCCACGCCAGGTGTGTAAGCTTTTTTATTGCAATTTTTGGCATTAGCTCTCTGTATTTGAGATTTGATGGCTGTCTCAAAAAGTTTGTGTGAAAGATGAGTAGTACCCTTCTGGCCAGTTATCAGTGTGTAAACAAATGATACTCTTAGTATACATGAGAATTTTTCGTCTGAAAATATCTATGAACTCTGAAGGATTAATAGACGCTGCTTTGGCATTGCTGTTGTTTCAACCTCTTAAGGCAGTATCTCATGGGGATAACATATCAATTGTTACTGGCTCGAAGGACCGTACATTGCGAATGTGGAAGGTGAGGACATCTTGTGTTACGTTATTTTATTGCAGGGTGGTCTTTGCTCTACTTTGTTTTCTTAACTAGCTCAATAATTAATGTAGAATGTTCTCCGTGTTTGGACCCTCAAAGATCAGTATCGTTTGCGTCTCAAACTAAAAGTACCTCTAACGTCCTGTATACTTTTGTATGGTGCGCATTGAGGCAGGTGCCAACTGATAACTCGTCATCCATAAAGACGGTGAAACCCACCAGATGTTTCAAAGGCCATACTTCTTCCGTTCAGAGTGTCGCAGCAAGCCCATCTGGTATGCAGGTAAGCCAATCTGCTAAAAGTAATACCGGTATAGATCTCCATAAATGTTCTTTGTAGGTCTTTTAGGTGGAAGTTTACACTATGGCCAGATTCAGTAACAAGCTATTTTGCAAACTTGTAGATTTGTTCAGGATCATGGGATTCGTCTATCATGTTGTGGAGAACGTCGGAGGATGCCCTTGAACCTGAGGAAGAGGAGATTGCTAAGAAAAGGAAGCTCGCTGGGCCCGATGTTGACACTCAGCTCGCCGAGACAGAGGTATGAATTTTACTGTTTATGGAGCATGAAACACGTTAATGTTTAGCAATTCATCATGTGTTCGATTCCGAAGTGATCTTCTCATCAACCATTGCAGAAAGCACATATTATGTTCTTCCAGTGAGCAGATTACAGCTTGCGAGTAAGATCAATTGCTCATCTATCTCAGATTTTTTACTTTTCTCCAGGTCTCAGCGAAAGCAACGTTCGATGGACATACGCAGTGCGTGTCAGCAGTTGCATGGGCTGCCGAGGATTATCTATTTTCTGTATCTTGGGACCATTCAGTACGAAGCTGGAACGTAGAAACGGGCGCAAACACTTCAACGATGGTGAGAATAACATTGATACTTATTCTGCGTCTCTTCATTTCTTTACCTAACGCTTCGAATGCCCAATCGATAACTAGTTTACACACTCGCATGATTAGAAATGGCTTGTAGCAAATGCGAATTGTTGTTTTGAGCTTCTCACTCCTTTGTTTATGGTTCAGAGTTGTAGTAAAGCTCTTCATTGCCTGAGTGTCGGAGGCGAAGGATCGGCCTTATTAGCCACAGGCGGTGCCGATAATGTGTTGAGGGTTTGGGATCCTCGAATAGTTGGTAAGTTGGATATGAATTTCTCTTGAAGTCGTTTCAATGCTCAACGTATCTTCTGTACATCGCGCAGAATCTTTTTTATACCTGGAGATCTTAGAAGAAAATGCCTTGAGCATTCTCACGTTAACATAGTTTCCACTATGTATGTATATCAGGTGTTGTTGCCCCGATACTCCAGCTAACGTCACACAAGGGATGGATCACGTCCTGTAAATGGTAAGTCAGCTTGTCACCCGTCTGTATGTCCACTATGACATGGCAGTCTGGATTCGAGTGTTGTGCGCTATCTTCTGCCGAATCACCTCATGTTTCAGTCGGTCTGTGTAACGTATGTGTTATGATTGCTGCTTTGTTCTGGCTGCCTCATGCTGTAAGTTTGTCATGTTGATTGGAGTTTCTGAACATCGCGATCTAAAGTTTGTAGGTGTGATCTCTTCAACATTCAAAACTTTCTAGAAAGTTAGGGATCGATCTTAGGACAGGCTTAGTGACCTGACCTTCCTGAAGTATGCATCATCGTTGGTTCCATTCGTACACTTCTCTCTACAGCTCGACTGGAAAATATCAGATTAGTTCATCAATTGGGGACTTCACACATTTGAGAATTATGCATCACATTTACCTCCTGGTCCTTGTCGCGGTATTTGTTGGGTACCTGCCGGACACATGCATCCTTATCTACTTTCAGCTTTCGATTCCAATTGGGGCACATCAAAATCATCCAGCGTTGCCAACTCCTGATATCTAGGCGACATGCTTGAAGTCTTCTACGTAAGAGTTACAGTTGCTTTTAAATTATGCAAGGAAGCATGAATATCTTCCTTTGTCCAGCTCCGTTTCTTCAAGAGGAATGTGGCCGAACTTGTTGCTGTATGTCACATATGTGAGCAAAAGCTAGCCACTATGTACAGTTTGTTTGGCTAACACTGTGTACAAAGTCTGTCGAGATATTATTCGTTTTTTTGCCGGCTGAGCTCTTTCCAGCCTGAACTTTCACAGTGGAAATCAGAAAGTGTCTGCAGTCGGTCACTTACTAGCTTTGCCTGAAGTACCTGTTCCCAAAATATGTAAATCTGTCTCGTGAGTAGCGTGTTCACGAAGATTACTTATTTGTTGGCCCATTTATGATGGAACTGATAGCATTAACTTGCATTGTATTTGTCAGTTCTGGATATATATATTGGGCCTATAACGAGTTATTGTGCTTCACAGATACCTCATTGTCTTTATTTCCATGGCTTTGTTGGTCACTTGATGCATACATTTATAATGGCGATGTGGTCATTGTTATTTTACTTCACGATGCCAGACCAGCTGTCGAATCTGGTGTGATATCCTCTACCGGATTTTACTATGTTTTGGATCTTAGTTTAAAGTGACGTTCAATCCTCGGCTGATCACATGTCACGGTTGCTTTCAGGCATCCTCGATCAACGTTTCACTTGCTATCGGCATCTCACGATGGGACTATCAAAGTCTGGGATACGCGAGCAAAGGTACTTATCATCTGGCTTCCATACGGTTTAACTGTATAATCTTAAGTGTCAGGAAGAATACTAGCAGGAGGGATTGTCAAAGAGGCCAGCACCTGAGATCTCAGGCTGTGGAATTAAGGTGTTAGGGTTGTGGCAGACACATACTGATTTGTACGGTGAGGAGGAATGAAGAAGGTGGTGCTTCTTGTGTGGCCAAGACGCTCCACTTTCAACATATATTCCCCTTTGAGAACGCTATTGTTATAGATTGATTCTAACCAGCAAAATTGGTGGTCGATGCAGGTTCCTCTTTACACAGTCGAAGCTCACAAGGACAAGGTTAGTGTCTTTGAAAGAGATTAGTTTCTTCCTCCTTTTTTTTTCTTAGCTCGCAGGATTTCGAAGCGATAGTTTGAGCTTTGGAGTGGGGCCTTGTGGCCTCAGCCTTGCTAGCAGAACCAAGCAACAGGGCACTCACCATACTCCAAACACGTAAATAGTATGTCGTTGCTTGATGTCAAGTGAGGTCTTCTTGTGCCAACAAAACACATGCTCACACTTGTCTCGTCTTTTTTTTTACCTCTACAGGTTTTGTGCGCCGATTGGTGGAAAGAAGATTGTATCGTCAGTGGAGGAGCAGACTCCAAATTGAGCATAATGCGAGAAGCGAAGTTCAATTTATGAAGATCGGCCCGACTTTTGTTGCCGACTAGTTTTGCAGATGGCGGACGACAAGTTGTCTTCGCCGGATCAGGAATTTAGAGTAGAAGTAAATACAGCGTAGGCAGTTAGCGTTGTCGGGAGTAGAGACGTTCACTACAGATATGAGGCAAAGTTCAGGTCTTCACAGGGCGACAAGTCGGTCGTAAGCCGAGCATCAGCTCTGTTCTAGAAACCAATTCTACAATCTCTCAAATCGCACAAATTCGAGTGTAAATCTATCTTGAAATAGTTGAAACTTTCATCGTCTTGACAACCGTGCAGCGAATCTCCACAAGCTTCTAGGATGCTCCATCTTCAGGCCCACATTGTCAGTGCGCCGCGTGTTGCATTACACCCAACCTCAGAGGACACCGGGTAAGGCGAATTTTTCATCCGGAGGTGCAAGACCGAAGTACGGAAGTCAAGTCTCGGGTACTGTCGTATTACCCCACTCAAGAACAATCACGGGGCAGCACCAGATGCTGACTCCTTATGGCAAAACGCGAAGTTCGATTGATCACCTGTTTCCCCGTTTTCACAGGAGTTAAAATTTCACAAGATGCCCAACCATGAGTGCATACACAAGATGTGTACACCACATACTTTCACATGCAGCTTATTAGAGATCGTCCCTTTTGGCTACCATGTTCTTAAATAGTAACCGAAACTCTGAATTGAAATGTGTTCATCTGTAGTTGGAGATGATGGTGTAATATCAGAGATCGCTCACTGGAGCTTTCACCCTTCGACATTCGCTTTACAAATTCGATGTACTCCAGAGACTTCGTGTGGGTCAAAGCACTCACTTACGTGGAGCTGGCAGCAAACGAGGGAGATTAACGGAAGTGTGGAGGCGAGGTCGATCTAGACCACGACGTAACCTACGGATGGCGATCAGTTCAGAAGTGCGTCACGTTGACTGGCTTGAAGTGTCTCAGATCGGGACATCAGCATGAGAGTGGTGGCGGAGTGTGTGAAGTAACGTCGAAGGTATATTGACCATATTCAATGGCCTCGGGCCGATGACAAAATCGTCGGTGAAGATAATGATTGACACGCTGAGAGTGAAAAGTGCTTACGCTGCAGCCAAGCCACATGATGGTGCACGATTCGCCCCAACACGTTCATGCCTCGTCCACCGATACGAAACGTAGATCGGAGGCCGGTACCAAACGTGTTCCACCTTCCAAAGGATGTATGGGCCGCGACTAAATTGGTCAACCTCGTCCCGTCGAGGGCACTTCAAGTCGTGCCTCAATTCCGAGCTTGGACTCCCCCCCTCTCCCCCTCCCCTCCCTTTCCGCCATCTCTCTCTCTGGGTCACTTTCCTCGGGCTTTCCCTGCGCCTCCGGTGTCCTCGCTTCCTCCCTCCCTCGCTAGCCATGCACATGTAGCACAGCCAGCAGCCAGCAGGAGCAGGAGCAGCAGAGCGGCCGGTTCAGAGGCGATCGAGAGGCTCAGGAGCCAGTCAGTCTCTCGGCCCATCGTGATCACATGTTCCCGCACCCTTTTCGTCGCCTGGAGATGTACAGTGCGATGATTCTTCTGGCGAGTGTCAACTTTCCTTTGAATTTTTGTTACAACTTCGTCACGTCGATCATCACTGCAGTCGGGGCCTACGCAGACCGAGTACGATCCTCGCGAAAACATTATTATAATCTGTAATCTGCCTCTGTGTACAAATCGGTGCCTCTTTACATTTCGGTTTCGACTCCGCTCCCTCCAACGGAATCCGATTGACGCGCTATCACTGTCGTAGTCAAACCCGATCGACCTCCAAATTGGATATGGCAGTCGAGACGAGAGTAAGAGTGAAAGTGAGAGATACGGCCACAAAAAATTCTGGAGCCATTATTATACGACAAGCAGGGAGGCCCCAGTTCTTCCCAACATCTTGAACGAAGGTTGCCCAATGCGTAGCCTCTCTGCCCTTCGCAGAAGCTCACATCGCCGAAAGATGTAATCTTAGTTGTCTCACAATGAGCACAATCTGCCCGCCGGAATCGATCTACCGAGGCTTGGTCATATCGACATACCCATTCAGCCACGTACCCTTGCTTCGAAGACGACGAGACAAGCTCCAAAAGCCATGGGGGCACTGACGTGAACACCTCACCTCAGCCATTTCCTTTTTGAGCTCGTCTTGATTGACGATAGTGGACGAAACAGTACAAGGGGGGATGCAGTTCACGACCAAACTCTGCCTATTGAAAGATATGTTCTGTCCTGGTGCCACTCGTACAACCACTACTACCGTCGACCAGATCTTACCTCTGTATGTTTATCGCCCAGCGGTGTTTTCACGCGGAGCCACACAACTACAAATGTCGCACAGAGAGATGTTCGGTGCAAGAGAGAGAGAAAGTCTGTCGGCTAGCGTCCGTGAATCGTCATTAATGGAGGGAAGGCAAACACTCTGCGACAATTCGGATCTGGTCAAACTAGGCCGTCTAGGGATGCAAGTAGAAGAAAAATTCGTCGTCGAGAAGAATACGCAAGGACAGAGAGAGTTATTGCGAGATTTGATTTCGGCCGAGGTTCCGAGAAATCAAAAGAAGATCGAGCACTGTACATTCACCACGCTGGGGAAATGCTAACTAACAAATCCATGGCGGATTTTGCTTTACTCGGTGAGCGAATGTGGCTTGCGACGATTCAACAGCGTGTTGGAAAGGAACAAAAGAAAACAAAAGCTGATCGTTGCTGCTGCCGTCAAGTCTGAAGAGAGCATGAGGAGAAATTGGGCTAGGTTCGTTCGACGCAGCTAAGGCTAAAGCAGCGGAGTAGTAGGACCAAGTTGACTGCGGCCAGCAGTCAATGGCCGACCTTATGATTACACTCGACATGGTGAAGGGGAGGAACCCGAGGTGAGGAGATGTGACTGCAAAATTCCATACGAACGTGCAGGAACATTGAAAAGCCCCAGGAGGGTCTGAAATCTCACTCCTTGATATTGGCTATGGAGGACTTTTTCCCATCTCATGAAGAAGCGAGGGAATGGGAGGAGATTGCTCTAAGAAGGAAGGAAGTACGAGGTGAAAGTGGAATCCATCATCACGGTCAGACAATGTTGCATATGCACGACAGAGACTCACGACCAAAGGGAGGATGTCATAAGGGCGACCCCATCGTACATGGGCAACATGATGGTTTCTGCCATCCTTTGGGAACCAACAACTTTCGACCCGCCAGGACGAGCTTCAAAATTTTACCTCGTTGGACGACAACAGGACGCAAAAGGCGAAGAGAGTAGCGAGGGCGAGGGCCCAGACATTTGCAGCGGTAGATACGAAAGAGTCGAGACGGATCCCGACAGAAGACGTATGGATGCGCCAGATTCCATACCACCAACGACAAATTGGGAACCATCCAAATGAAGGGGGAGCGAAACGCGGAGGAAAATTAGACAGTGGAATATACACAAGGAGTCAGTCATTCAATCGCCATTAAAACCAGCGACGATGTCTAATAAACTCCAGACGCTAGCGAGAGACGAAGACTTGATGAAGAACGATGTACTGTACACTCGCAAGGTCCAGAAAGCCGCAAAGGTGCGGATGGAGACACGGGAGTGAGGAATACTAAATTCAGTGTGAGGTTTGGATGCTATGCTGAAATTTGAACGTGGAATTGACATGATGTCGATGCACAATCACATCGACACAGCCCGAGATAAATTGAGACACTCGCTGGTCCAAAACCACCAACATGAAGGGGGTGGCAATAGCCCAATATGTTTGGAGAACTCAGATGGAGTTGAATTACAAAGGGGCCTAGATGCAATGGGCCATAAACTGTGATAAATCAGTTGACCAGAATCTGAGAAGATGTACAGAAAACTAGTAAAAGAAAGAGCAGCAACATGTGACAAAAAAATTAGGAAAGCAAGAAGTGTGCGTGCGGTCCCAAGGTGTCACGAGGACATGCTTTGGTAACATGGCTATGGATGAAATACTTTGATCCTGTGTCAGTGATATTCCCTCTTTCGCCATTTCACTTGTTTCTTGCAGCTAGTAAACCTCTTGTCTAAAGTTCGTATACAAGTATCTAAGAACCTTTATTCAATCTCAAATGTCTTTTCTTGCAAATTTCCAAAAACTTTAATTTTTTTTCATATTTTTTGAAACATTTCTCTAGCAATAGAGTTTATCACAAATCAATATGTGTAAATAACCATCACACATCTGAGATGTGTGATGGTTATTTGTATGATGGAGATGTGTGCAACCTCAATATCTATACGCATTTTTCTGATAAATTGCTTAATGATAAATGTTTAAGCTATGGAAAGAAATGGTTATTCAATCTAAACTGTAAAAAAATACAATTTTGTACAAAGAATCGAACCTAGTATTTCGTACAAAAGGCATTTTTTGACTTATGAATCAATATGCATACAGAAGCATGAGTATTTGAAATTAATTGTTTCCTAAATGTCAATGTTGGTCACGCTTTTAGGTGTTTCAACAATAACTTAATTAGATGTGAGATAGGTCAATAACACATACTAGTCCAATTATTTCGATTCCATAAGGTTGCATATGAATCATATGATATGGTCTATCTTTTACAAAGTATAGATTTTTTACTCAATTTGATTATAGTTGGTTATAGAACAACTTTGAGAAGTGATGATGTGTTTTATTTATCAACTTCATAAACTTTATCTCTATAAACACATAAGTATCAATATTATTAGCATTGACAATCATCAACAAATCCAGATCATATTTTTACAAGCAATTTTATGATGGTAAAATGAGTATATATTTTTTCATATATTAATATTCAATTAACGTATTAAATATTTATTTCAATTAACTTTTCTTATTTGTTAAATTTTTCTTGTTTCCATAGAATAATTTTCTTCAAATTTTTTTATTATATGGCTTCCGATCTCCTTCCCAACTGTTGGATACACATAAAGAACATTCAGTATCCACTATATTCTTCAAGCTAGTAAATTCCATTTTTGAAACAATGTTTTGGGGTCACATTCGATTTTGAATATACTATGCTGAAGGTTGACCTATCAATTTACACTATGAATGAAAAAGCGGATTGTAACAGAATTTCGAGAATATGCTGAGGGATATATACCTAGCAACAATTTTGTGAGAAGGCATCATGAAATATTGATATTTTAGTTCATTTTATAGCACATAGTAAGCAAAAGTGTGAGCATGTCTGTGTGGAAAACATTCACTGACGTGATGAGTGAATGTTCTGTACAAGAGAAAGAACAATAACATGATGTGATTTTTGAGAATGTTCATATC